ACGTAATTTGTTAGAGTGCCGTCATGAGGTTTTTTAGAAAAACTTTCTATAAGACGGTCTTTTTTTATTTGAGTAAGTTTTAAGCACTGTCTTTCGTAAATTTTTCATTTAATTAATAAAATCGGGGGATGTCCGGTAGGTACCCCTCCGGTTCACCTAAAAAAAAAATGATTATCTCTTTTTAGTTATTACAAAGTTGTCTATAAATTAGACTTCTCACTAAGTAAATTCAACCCTATTCCAATAACATTTTACGTTCTTAAAAATCTATGTTCTTTTTCTCTCTTTCCCAACAAAGTGGTATCTATAATTTAGATTGAATTTGAGGAACATGTGTACGAGTGAATTAGGGAGGACCTTCTAAGAAACAAATCCTTTTTTAACCAATCTTATTTTATCAATGGAAGGAGAGAATAATTCCATGTCTGCTCCTCTAGTTTTTAAAGGAGAAAATTATTATATTTGGGCTGTAAAAATGGAAGCCAATCTAGAAGAAAATAGATTATGTGAGTTGGGGAGAAATGATGAATTTCAGCCACTTTCTGAAAATCCAACAATTATTTGTAATTATTTGTTAAGAGCGTGCACTTCACTCTTTTTTAAAATTTTTTTTCCAAATCTAATGTAATTATTTGTTTTATCTTCACTTTTTTTTAAAAAAAAATAGATGTTATGTAATTATTTATTTTATTTATGCGGTTAATTATATTCGTTTCTTATTACTTGATGTAATGTGTAATAATTTTTTTTGGTAATTTTTTGATACTAATTAATTGAATAATTTTTTTGGTTAAGGTAAAGTTAGTTTAGGCCAAGTTAAATATTTATTTATTTAGGTAAAGTTAATTTATTTTTGTTTTTTTAATTAATTTAGTTTGTCCGATGCTATCTAATTTTTAGTTAGTAAGTAAAATATACTAGAAAATTATACAAGTTAATTGTAATAATGATTAAATTTAATAATAATTCTGCTAATTTCAATTTCATTATTTTTTTTAATTTAAAACTTATGAAATGCCAAAATGATGATTCTTTTATTAATATAATGTAAAAGGGCAAAATAATCATAAAGTGAGCTCCTCTAAAAATTAAGTGGGCTACATTTAGTCCCTCACGAAATGAAACTGTGAAGCCCAGTTTAGTTAGATCGGCCAAATTTTGTTATGGACGCAACCATTGTTTCTTCCTGATTCTTGTAATTTGGTGATTCTTATAGCCTTACAGGTCTCATGTGTAGTTTGATCTTGGATTCCATCTGAGATTTTGTTATGCCCGCTTTCATTTGATTTTCTCTACATAAACTCTTGAAGTATTTTTACCTTTTTCGATAGCCCTCTTAGGTTCATGTAATACCTGGAGAGTTGGAGTCAGCCGATATATATAAAAGTTGGGCGTTACTGCTCAAATTTTACAGTCTTTCATCTTAACTAATCTTCTATCCATGTCGTCCACTATTTTCTTGCAAAGATCTTAAATAATCGTCATTTGTTTATATGAGTAAATGAGTTTTATAAACTATTTCTTTCTATTCTAAAAGGTTTGTCCAGTTTGGTTTTTTAGTACAATTTGAATTAAAAATACAATTTGGACAATCATCTAGGGATGAAGGAGTACTTAGTTAGTTTCGTGAATTATGTAAATTTTTGTGTAGGACTAAATTTTGTAGCCAGCTATATAATATCGATATTGAGTAATTAATTTCTTAGTGAAAAAGGGTATTAATATTTCAAATTTTCAGTAACTTACTCACTGTAATATATACCGACATTAGATAATTTTAAATCCAGTAAGTATTTTAGAAAATGCCATGTGACGTGTTGGTAGATGATTTTGTTTGGCTTGTGTCTTTTCCCCCTATATAGTAAGGAGTAAGAGTTTAAATACTGTATCATGAATCATGATGCAATATACTAACAGCCATAGTTATTTTCTTTTCAAATTTGGGCAACATTGCTCTGCAAAATTAAAATTAGTGGCTCCTTTAAGTCTATAGAGTAGATCTAAACCTCAAACGATCTGTTACGCATTGATTTATGACTAACCTGGCAAGATATAGTTATTGTTTTAGATGTATTTTCTTCGGGTCTATGTCTCTATGATCAATTAATCAAGGAAAAATAAATTGACCGATTACGAATAACCCGACATTATATCAGATCAGGTTCTGCCGGAAAAAGCAAGAGATTCTAAATCAATCAACCGCTAATTAAATTGACCCAGTGTCCGGACTCAATGGAATTACCCATGCTTATTTTACCTTATGAGTGTGTGTGTGTGTGTGTGTTTTTTTTTTTTTTGAGAACACATGTTATGTTATAGTATTACCTTCGCAAAAAGAAAGAAGAAGACATCATATAAGTGCAAATAGAAGTGAAAATTCTTCTTGAAAAAAACTGATACTGAAATTACGTGCTAAAAGTGACCAAAATGACAGCGTAAAGAAAGAACAAAAAAGCAGTTGTAAATGCAGCCGTTTCAATTTGTAGTCTATATCTCTATCCTCGATTAACTCTATAGTTTCTTTCTGACGTCGACTCTGTAACTTTGAATATAAATGCATAATACTCCCTCCGTCCCATAATTATTGTCCAGTTTTACTAAAATGAAAGATTTTATTTTTGGTCAAACTTAACTATATTTTACCTTAAACAACCGGATATACCCCTACATAAGTAATTGTTTAACCATTAAGATTTTATGGATAATGCTTTTTACTAAGGACAAATGTGTAACTTGATCCATAAAAAGTCAAATTGGACAATAATTTTGGGACAAAATTTTTTGGGCAAAGTGGACAATAATTATGGGACGGAGGGAGTAATATATAAGTATATTCCGATAACTCGTCATTTGCATCTTTTAACTCTGATCTCGCCTGTATAACTCTTATCGTTTTCCCTTATTTTCCAGTTTCTTCACTGGACAATTTAGCTGTTGATCTGTAACAAATGTTTTCGGACTTCAATTGCACGATGTTAAACAGACTTGGAATGGAAATTCATCACTAATTCTTTACTTGATCTTAAATAATGGTTGAGACGATTTCGGCTTTTCTTAATGCATTATTAGATTTTGAATGATACAGTACTAGGCATTATTTATTAATTGAGAATACCATGTACCACGTTCTCAGTTGATAAAAAGATAGTAACTTAGTTGATAAAAATGCATATTTACGTTATGTATATACTTTGATAAATCATACTACTAATTATTCTCTCTGTCAAAATAAAAGGTTTCAAAATATATAACAAAAAAAATTTTTTTTTTTACTCCTTTAAGACGTAAGAAGTTATTTTTTTAAAAAAAAAAAAACAAAGAGATTTGTCAGAGTTTAAACTGGCAACAAATAAACAAATTGAATTGTTTCTTTTGTGTCAAGTACGGTGGTCATCGGGATTTTCTTCAACATGAGGGTAGTTTCATCTATGCGGGGAGTAACAACAGTCGCCTAATGACGAAATGAATGACCATTACTTTACTAACTTTTACGGGGAAATTTTTATATTTTTTCAACTTTTTAATAAGAAATAGTTTCATTTCTTGTATTTTTTAACACAAGAACAAAATCAGGAAAACCCCAAGATTTTTATTTTTGGGGGACAAATTATGAGTGGCTTATTACTTCTCTCATTAATTAATGAGATCAATGTAGCAAGCTCTTGATTAAGTCATACTCCCTTTTACCCGGTTTTCAAAAACATTTCCAGAATGTCACAAAATTTTACTACTCATAACTCATTAATATTTTGGGGAAAAAAATAGAAAATCTAATGTTAATTTTTTAAATATATTTATCATTCATTTTTTCAACTGATTCAGTAATTTAAGTGAACTATAAATGTTTCGATTATGATTCTGATGTGTGACCATTGTTTGAAATGATATTAGTTTAAGTGCGACAAGTGCTTGTTTTGAAAATTATTAAATAAATATTCTGTAAAATGTAATAAAAGGTTATGTTTTAATGGATTCATAAACCTTGGATAATCAACGCACCAGAATTGCTCGTTGGATCAATGTAATTATGTAATCTTAATGGCTAGGGGAAAGGGGGGATCACTTTAGTTATAAGTATTTACTAGCGGTTTTCAAGAAAGTATTCACTAGCAATTCAGTAACCAAATCACCACAACCCAATCAGGGATGAACATCAAACGTCATTACATGTTTATCTCAACAAGATCACATCTTCAAATATATGACTTGTGTAATATAAACTATTTATGGTACTAATTCATTGGAAACATTATTGATTAAGTACTAGTAATATTTGTGAAAGGCCTGATAACATAATTGGAATGTTTGACCAATTTCAGATAGAACTGTACTATACGAACCAGAAATGGAATATATAATTAAGAGGTCAAGGTAATTTGACTCTCCAGTCGTCCAAACTTGGTATAGAATTGGAATTGGGTGTTTACGTACATGCATATTAATACTAAGAATCCAAATGGACGTGTTCATTCACCCACCTGACCATAGAGAGTTAATTTGTTCATAGAAAGTCTCATTGACTCATCGTTTTACATGACCTTCAGTTGTTCAATAAAATAGATACGACATGTAAACACGATTTGAAATTAATACAAATTTTTAACAATGGACGTGTTCGTTCGCCCACCTGACCATAGAGAGTTAATTTGTTCATAGGAAGTCTCATTGACTCGTCGTTTTACATAACCTTTACTTGCCCAATAAAATAGATACGACATGTAAACACGATTTGAAATTAATACAAATTTTTACCAGTAAAAACAGTCAAGACTTGTTGATCATGTCAGTCTCACATAACCCATTTGGAAATAAAAAGTTATATAACTCAAAAAAATTTAATGCATGATTTTGACTATGATCTCTAAATTTAATTGACGTAACAAAATCACATTTTTAGTGAATACGATTAGTACTCTTTAAATTAACTCCAAAGGTCAGAATTGGCATTAATTAATTGATGTTTATATAAGAGGACATTTAAGTTTCTACACATGAAAACACAACCTTTCAAACTAGAACGTAATCTGGTTTAGATACAATCATACAATGCCTCCATTTCATTCCACCTCCCCAGTCCGAAACACCACCGACCCCGCTGCCGCTGATGAAACCGTTTCATCTCCGTTACGGTCAGAATACCGGGAAATCCACACTGAATCAGGCGACAAAAATCATCGCCGCCGGCGTTCTTACATGAAGCTTCTGATCATCAATTACATCATCCTGTTCATCGGTTCCGTTTCCTCCAGCTTGCTTTCAAAGTTTTATTTCAACCACAAAGGTAACAGCAAGTGGGTTTCCACCTGGGTACAATCCGCCGGTTTTCCCCTCCTCCTTTTCCCCATTTTCCTCCCTTATTACTCCTTCAAAACCACCAATCGAAAACCCTTTACCAAATTCAGCCGGAAAATACTCCTCCTCTCCGCCGTGGTCGGGTTGTTCTTAGGCCTCAACAATCTATTGTTTTCATGGGGAGTTTCCTATTTACCCGTTTGGACTTCTTCGCTTCCTCTTTCGACCCAACTCGCGTTCACTTTACTCCTTTCCGTAATCATCGTGAAACAGAGAATCAATTTCACAAATCTGAACTGTGTAATTCTCTTGACTTTGAGTGCAATTCTGTTAGCCTTGGGTTCGGATCATGACAAAGCCGACGGATTATCCAAGAAGAAGTATTTTATCGGGTTCATTTCGACGGTCGGGGCGGGTTTATTGTTTGCCCTGTATTTACCCGTTATGGAGCTGATTTACAGGGAAGTCGATTGTTATTCCATGGTGATCGAAATGCAACTGATCATGGAGATCGGAGCGACGATCCTAGCCACCGCGGGGATGGCGGCGGACGGCGGGTTTGAGGAAATGAGGAATGAAAGCTTGAGGGTGTTCGATTTGGGGGAGAGGGCTTACTGGTGCGCAATCTGGTTTAACGTGGTGACGTGGCAGCTCTGCTTCATGGGCACCGCCGGGATGGTTTTCTTGACCACGGCGTTGACCGGCGGGATCTGCATGACGGCCTTACTCTCGATGAACGTCATCGGCGGCGTGGTGGTTTACGGCGACCATTTTGGTGGGGTGAAAGCGGTGTCCACCGTTCTGTGTGTATGGGGATTTTGTTCTTATGTGCACGGAATGTATTTAAGGACGAAGAAGGAGAAGGAAAAGGAAATCAACGGCGTTAATGGCAGTGATGATCGTAGAGAACAGGCGGTGGAGATGACGGCGGTGCCTTAGCTGCATATTGACAGAGGGGATGACGATGATGATGTGTGAAGATTATTGTAATTCAGGCACAGATACTGTTTTCTTAATTAGTATATGTTGTCATTATTAGTTAAACCGTAGTAATAGTGATTAGTCCGTCATCAGTCACTTTGTGATCAGCTGAACGTGTAAGAACTGATATGCTTGTTATTATTGTGATAGTATTACGCAAGGTGTTAATCCACACTTGCATTAATTTTATCATAAATTTTTCGATCTATTTGAGAAAGGATTAATCACATATAATATGAAACGCATAATTAAAATAAACTAACTCACTAATCATGAATATAATTAATCATTATTAAAAACTTCAAAACAAACTTCCTAGTTGAATCTTAACTCACGAAGTAGTGCAAATTGTAACACACTTAATCGAGCCTGTGGGACGAGATCTACATAGCTAGCGACGTATGATCACTTTAGCGGGGTGGCGTTGTCAGAAAAAAAAGGTTATAACTTTTGGCGGCTGCATTTGTTGAAGTTATAAATTAAATTACAAATAGCACAATAATTTCAGTTCAGCATGGAGAAAGCCGATCATTTCTCAGTCCAGATGTAATTTAAAAATGCAGTGGTCCTAATTTCCTAGTCAGGGCATATTAGGGAACTAATTTTGCGGTAAATTCAATCCCTTCTTCATCGGAATATGCCAATTGGTAATACTAGTAAACGTTTTTTTATTTTTAAATTTTTTTATTGGAATAATTTGAGATATACATACACACAGATATTGTTGGGTTAATATTTCCCCTCAATTGAGCCCAGCATGATTTAAAGCCAAAATCCATGTTAGATCTGGTTTGGTTTGGTCGAATAAAAGGAAAACCAATTGGATTTGGTTTTCTGGTTTGATTGCTTTTATGTGGCCGTGACTTTTTGGCTGTGAATTTGACAAGCAAATTTGGGGCAGTAGCACATTATTTTTGTGCGAGAGAAAAGAGAAGAGAAAAGCTAGTTCTGAGATTTTTTTAGTGTTACGAGAAGAAAGTGTTTCATTTTAAGGCTTTGATCGGATGACGAAACAGAGTCAGTTATTGGTGCACGTTTGCATGTGTGTTCCTCTCAACAAGATCTACAAATCCTCCGGTTTAGTTTTCAGTTTAGCTCTTTTTTGGTAAGATTCTTCCAATCCTACTTTGTGGTTTATGTGTGTGTGAAAGAGTATTGTTGTAATCCACCTTTGGATGAAGTCCTGTGTATCCACCGATTGGTGAAGATTGTTTTCCATTATTGTGATAGTGGAGATTTTACTGTTGTTACAGTCCCGTGGTTTTTTTCGATTTGGGTTTCCACGTAAATTCGTGTGCCTCCTTTATTTTATCAGTTCTTGAATTATTTTACTTGTTAGGTTGTCCTATTTTATTGGTAGTAGGAAAAGAGTTTTTCTTGGGAATCGTTTCCGCTGGTTTGTTGTGTTTATACCCTTTCCGCCACAACAGTAGCATCAGAGCTACGGTTCGGTAGTTGAGGTGTTATACCAATAAAATGGAAAAATCATCGGGTACTGGTACGATGATTAAATTGACTTCGTCCAATTATCATATGTGAAAGCCTAGAATGGAAGATTTGTTGTATTGCAAAGATTTGTTTGATCCTGTTTTCGGGGATGAAGGTAGGCCAAGTGATATGACTGATAAAAAGTGGGCTGATATGCACATGAAAACTGTTGGTAATATTTGACAGTGGATTGATCAAAGTGTGTTTCATCACTTTTCGGGAGAAACAAAAACTGATGAATTTTGGGAGAAAATCCAGAATATGTACTGGAAGAAGTCCGGCATCAATAAGTCATCTGCGCTGAAACAGATTACCAGGTTGAGGTACAAAGATGGTGCTAGCATGAATGAGCACTTGAGTTCGTTTCAGGGTTGGTTGAGCAGACAGTGAATGTAGGTTTAAAGTTGGATGATGAGGTGCAGGCTTTGTTATTGTTTAGTTCTCTTCCAGACAGTTGGGACACTTTGGTAGTGTGAATCAGTAATTCAACCCAGGATGGTTTCTTGACCTTGGATCAGGTCAAAGAGGCTTTGATGAATGAAGAAGTCAGAAGAAAAGAGCAGAGTATTGAGTCTGAGTCGCAGGCTCTGGTGACAAAAAAATCAGATAGAAGAGGGAGAAATAAAAGTAGAGGGCCACGTGATCGGAATGACAAGTCCAGAGGACGGTCTAAATCAAAGAAAGATGTCGTGTGCTACCATTGTCAAGGGAATGGACACTTTAAAAGGGAGTGCAGGGTTCTCAAGAGAAAAATAGTAGCGAGAAAAGGTAAAGGCAAGAAGGATGAATCAAGTGATGATGACACTACTGCAGTAGTAACTACCAGTGATGTATTTGTGTACTGTAATGATGATACAATTAATGTTGCGAGTCACGACAGTGATTGGTTCGGTGATTCAGGTGCATCTTATCATGTAACGCCTCACAGACACTTCTTTACCTCTTACACACTTGGAGATTTTGGTCGTATAAGAATGGGCAATCAAGTCTCATGCGATGTTGTCGGCATGGGAGAGGTATCATTGGTAACGAATACATGTTTTACTCTTGTCTTGAAGAATGTCAGACATGTTCCGCATATGCGTCTGAACCTTATTTCCGTTGGAAAACTTGATGATGAGGGTTATCATAGCACTGAAGGTGGTGGCCGTTGGACAATTACCAGAGGAATTCTTGTTATTGCTAGAGGAAAGAAGTTGAACTCTTTATATGTGTTGAATGCAAAGTTAAAGAATGGAGAGATGAACACAACTCACAATGCCTCTATTGATCTCTGGCACAGAAGGCTTGGACACATTAGTGTCAAGGGGCTCCAGATTCTTGGTAAGAAGCAATTTCTCCCTGAAGTGAAAGGTATTGCTCTAGAACCTTGTGTTGACTGTATCTATGGTAAACATCATAGGGTTTCCTTTCAAAATTCTCATCCATCTAGAAAGTCCAGTCCTCTAGAGTTAGTTCATACAGATGTATGTTACATAAAAGATAGGTCTTTGGGTGGAGCATTGTACTTTGTTACTTTCATTGATGACTATGCTGGAAAGGTTTGGTGTTTTTCTTTGAAATCTAAAGATCAGTATTAGATGTGTTCAAAGACTTTCACCTTAGAGTTGAACGAGAGACTGACAAGAAGTTGAAGTTTGTTCGAGCAAATAATGATGATGAGTACAGGGGTCCATTTGAGAAGTATTGTCGAGACCATGGCATTAAACTTCAGAAGAGTGTTTCGAAGACTCCACAACATAATGGCGTGGCAGAAAGAATGAACAGAACTATTATCGAAAAGGTTAAGTATATGCTCTCGAATGCAAAGCTGCCTAAATCATTTTGGGGTGAAGCCATGCAGACAGCAGTTGATTTGATCAACATATCTCCCTCAGTTCCGTTGGATGGTGATCTACCACAACGAGTTTGGATAGAGAAAGATATCTCATTTGGATATTTGCGAGTGTTTTGGTTGTCGTGCCTTTGTTTATATTCCCAAAGATGAAAGGTCAAACCTTGAAGGCAAATGCAAGCAATGTGTATTCTTGGGGTATGGAAATGATGATTTTGGGTACAGACTTTGGGATCCTGTAGAGAAGAAAGTTTTCAGAAGCAGAGATGTGATCTTCTTTGAAGATCAGACCATTGATTATATGGGAAAGGGCGAGATGCCAGAATCTTCACATGAGATTCCTGTTGATCTAGATCCAGTTGCTCCTCAATCAGATGATTCTCCTGAAGGGGGAGCTGAGACAGAGCAGGATGGTGAGTTTGATGATGATCCTGCTACTGAAACAGAGACACCACCGGTTTCATCACCTCCTGTTCAGCCTAGGAGGTCCACCAGAGACAAGAGACCTTCCACCAGGTACAGTGTTCATGAGTATTTGTTGCTTACTGACGGGAGAGAGCCAGAGTCGTATGAAGAGGTTCTTAGTTATGAGCAGAAAGATCAGTGGTTAGCAGCTATGCAAGATGAGATCAAATCCTTGCATGAGAATAACACGTATGACCTAGTGAAGCTGCCTAAGGGGAAGAGATCACTCAATAATAAATGGGTGTTCAGACTGAAAACAAGTGAGAACAGCTCACAACCGAGGTACAAAGCTAGATTGGTTTTGAAGGGATTCAATCAGAGAAAGGGCGTAGACTTTGATGAGATATTCTCTCATGTTATAAAGATGTCTTCAATCCGAGTTGTGCTTGGGATAGCAGCCAGCTTGAATCTTGAGATTAAACAGCTTGATGTGAAGATAGCCTTCTTACATGGTGATTTGGAAGAAGAGATTTACATGGAGCAACCAGATGGGTTCCAGGAAAAGGGGAAAGAAAAGCTTGTATGTCGTCTCAACAAAAGCTTGTATGGGTTGAAGCAAGCTCAGAGGTAGTGGTACAAGAAGTTTGATGCTTTCATAATAAGGCAGGGATACCAAAGGACTACAGCCGATTACTGTGTGTTTGTGAAGAAATTCTCTGATGATGATTTTATAATTCTTTTACTTTATGTCGATGACATGTTGATTGTTGGTCATGATACTGTAAAGATTGCCAGGTTGAAAAAGGAGTTGAATAAGTCCTTTGCGATGAAGGATTTGGGTCCGGCTAGATAGGTCCTTGGGATGAAGATTTCTCGTGACAGATAGAATGAGAAGTTTTGGGTATCTCAAGAGAAGTATATCGAGAAGGTTCTTGATAGGTTTAACATGAACGGTGTTAAGGAAGTCTCGACTTCACTTGCATGGCATTTTAAGCTAAGCAAAACGCAGTGTCCTAAAAGTGAGAAAGATAAGGAAGAGATGAAAAAGGTTCCTTATGCTTCGGCAGTTGGTAGCCTGATGTATGCGATGGTTTGCACAAGGTCAGACATAGCTCATGCAGTTGGTGTTGTTAGTCGGTTCTCTCCAATCCTGGTAAGGAGCATTGAAATGCTGTGAAATGGATTCTCGGGAATCTTATGGGTACTTCTAGATTGAGTCTTTACTTTGGCAATGGGAAGACCATGTTAGATGTATATACAGATGCTGACGTGGCGGGTGACCTTGATGGTCGGAAGTCTACTTCTGGTTACTTGATGACTTATGGAGGGGGAGCAGTTTCATGGCAGAGTAGGTTGCAGAAGTGTGTTGCTTTGCCTACTACAGAGGCAAAGTTTATCGCAGCTACTGAATCTTATAAGGAAGTACTTTGGTTTAGAAGTTTCTACAAGAGCTTGGCATGAAGCAAGAGAGGTATGTGGTGTATTGTGATAGCCACAACCCTATTCACTTGGCGAAAAATTCCACATTCCATTCGTGGTCTAAACATATTGATGTGAAATATCATTAGATTCGGGATTTGTTGGAGTCCAAGACGTTGTTTCTTGAGAAGATTCATACGGATGACAACGGTGCCGATATGTTGACGAAAACTGTGAAGTAGAGACAACCTTCTGTTTTGCAGACAGGAAGTCGGTTTGGTTTTATCCTCCAATTGAGGTGAAGGGGGAGATTGTTGGGCCAATATTTTCCCTCAATTGCGCCTAGCATGATTTAAAGCCAAAATCCATGTTAGATTTGGTTTGGTTTGGCCGAATAAAAGGAAAACCAATTGGGGCAGCCGCACATTATTTTTGTGCGAGAGAAAAGAGAAGAGAAAAGTTAGTTCTGGAGTTTTTTTGGTGTTGCGAGAAGAAAGTGTTTCACTTTAAGGCTTTGATCGGATGACGAAACAGAGTCAGTTATTGGTGCAAGTTTGCATGCGTGTTCCTCTCAACAAGATCTACAAATACGCCGGTTTAGTTTTCAGTTTAACTCTTTTTTGGTAAGATCCTTCCAATCCTACTTTGTGGTTTAGGCGTGTGTGGAAGAGTATTGTTGTAATTTACCTTTGGGTGAAGTCCTGTATATCCGCCGGTTAGTGAAGATTGTTTTCCATTATTGTGATAGTGGAGATTTGACTGTTGTTACAGTCCCGTGGTTTTTTCCGATTTGGATTTCCACGTAAATTCGTGTGCTTCCTTTATTTTATCAGTTCTTGAATTATTTTACTTGTTTGGTTGTCCTATTTTATTAGTAATAGGAATGGAATTTTTCTTGGGAATCATTTCCGCTGATTTGTTGTGTGTATACCCTTTCCGCCACAATATGTATATATTGATCGATAAGATATCAATCTGTTTCAATTTATTGGGGTGCAATTTTTTTTTAAAAAAATATCAATCTGCTTCATGTGATTCAAAGAAGCATATGAAAATTTACATCGACATTTCAGTATCTGTAAAAAAAAACAAAAAAATGATTGTTCTACTGATTAGATTTTTTTTAAAAAAGAAAAGCTTTAAAATACAATTACTTTTTAATGGAAGGAGTAGAAATTTTTTAATCGGCCTGAATTTTTTGAAGTCACCTATTTTCAATTCAAAACGTTGCCGAGTCACACAAAATCCAATGGGATTGATTCTCTACATCAGGCCACATATTAGCGATTCATTAATTCACAATCATTTGATGATCCATTAGCCTTTTGAACAATTAGCCGAAAGCCTGGTTACTTTTTCTGATCACAAAATGATTTAATACACTCATATGCATTCATCCATCACTTTCCTTATTCGTTGCATAATTGGTTCCAAAGTACAAGTTGTGAACCACAACTAAAGTGCACCTCATACGTTATCTCTTTTATTAACTTCTTATTGAATACTCCCCCGTTCCAACCAAAAAAAATAAAAATAAAAAAATAAAAAATTTCATAAAAAACAAAAAATAAAGAAGAAGAATGGAAGTGTCGGATTTGCGCTATTTTTTTTTTTTTCTATAATGTGAACTTCCATCACATTTTCTCTCCAACTTATTAACAGAAAGTTCTGTTAAGTGGGTTCGGATCAAAAGCTAAGAAGTTAATTTGCTTTATTTCTTTGAGGATCCGCATTCAAATCTTTATATCGCTTGTGAGTGTGTCATCCAGAGTTTGTCCGTAAACAAAGTTTATTTCCTCTAATTATTTTTCTGAAACTGACAGTTTTATGATTATATTGAGAAATAAACAAATCTCAACTTGCTAGGTGCTTTTGTAGTTATGACATATCTCCTACTACTATTTTCATTGAGAATGTTGAAACAAAGAGACACCGAGTAATTTCCTCAACTTTAAAGAAGAAGAAGAAGAAGAAGAAGAAGAAGAAGAAGAAGAAGAAGAAGAAGAAGAAGAAGAGTTATTCCTATCTCTAACGGTTGAAAGGTAAAAAAAATACTAAATAAATACACACGGACACACACACACACACACTCTCTCTCTCTGATACACTATCAACATTTATCAGCAAATCATCCATTTAAGGGTGAATATCAGAATTATATATCTATACATTTAGCTGAACACAAATCGCTGCTAAGAATGGCTTGTATTTTATGAATCATTGATTGTATAAATTTACTTAAAAATATTCTCGTCTGGTCCAATTTTAATAATTCGTTTTCGTATTTTGTTTTAATAAAATGAACGGTTTAATGTGACAGGCACTAGCAAGATGACCGACCAGCCCGTTGACAAACAATTGTAGCTAGTCTTTTTTTTTTTTTTATGAAACGTAAAAATAAAATCTAAAAATGGTGTTTGTCCATATCAATATTGGAAAATGATTTGAAATCTTATTCACAAAAATATTTGTTATTTCGTTATCATTCACTAGCACTTGCTGCCATCAAACCACCAATAGTTAGTCGGTTGCCGGCCGGCCAGATTAAATCCAGGCTGCAGCGATCCGCTGACGTTGTGTGATGATGGTATAGTAATAGTTAGTATTATCTATTTCAAAACATTATTTGTATAATGTCTCAAATTTTTATCTAAAATACTTTTTAAATTACATTTTATATCTTAAAATGCAAAAAACACTACCGCTCTATTATTGAAGTAGAGCAGTCAACTTCATAACTGATTAATAGAGTTGGAATCTTTTGGCTAAATTAAGATAGAATAGTATGAAGTATGAACAAAGGAGTGTACAACATAGAAAACAAAAAGAGGACGTTTAATTTAAGTCAAGGCAAGTTGACCGAGGTCTCCTAACAAGGTAAAAAATTTCGAATTGGTGTCCACTGTGATTATGTAAAGTTAAGAGATACTATGAACCAAAACGTACGTACCCGTTCGTCCCGATAGTATATATAAATACGGAAACCCTAATTAAGATTTTCGATAATCACAATTAGGATTATTATAATATTATACTATATATATGATGTTATACACACGAAAAATATTCTTTCACGTCCTCCTCTATCATTAAGAATGAATGAATATACTTTGATTATTAATCTGGCTTGCAGCCTTGCCATAATAAAGACCCCAACATAAAAGTCGATTCGAATTTAATACACGCTTCCATAACTTTACATTATACTTTATTTTATAAATCTTACAAACTCGATAAGTAAAAAACATAAAGTTGATTGTGATCATGACGTACATTAATTAATATATAATAATTTTACGTTAATAAATAAAAAGACGATTGATGCACTATAAGTAAAATTTGAGAACAAAATCGCTATCTTTTTTATTTATATAAGAACTAAGAAGACACACCTCTCCGGTTACACATGAAAAACCATCCCATCGAATTAATAGTAGTCAACTGCTCTCAGATTAAAGTAATAAAGTCAGCCATTTTGATTCTCAATCACAAATGCATTCGTCCCCCCGTTTCACATCTCCACTCCCTGACACCGACGCCGCCGCCGCCATACGACCGGGATACCATGAAGTTGACACTCAATCAGAGTCCTCATCGGAGGACAATAACAACGCGCGAAACATGAACCACCGCCGCCGGCGTTCTTACATGAAGCTTCTGATCATCAATTATATCATGCTCTTCATCGGTTCCGTTTCTTCCAGCTTGCTTTCCAAGTTTTACTTCAACCACAAAGGCAACAGTAAATGGGTTTCCACCTGGGTCCAATCCGCCGGTTTTCCCCTCCTCCTTTTCCCCATTTTCCTCCCTTACTATCTTTTCAAAACCACCACCCGGAAACCCTTTAAAAAATTCAGCCGGAAAATACTCCTTCTCTCCGTCGTTGTCGGCTTGTTCTTGGGCCTCAACAATTTACTGTTTTCATGGGGAGTTTCTTATTTACCCGTTTCGACTTCTTCGCTTCTTCTTTCAACCCAACTCGTTTTCACTTTAATCCTGTCTGTAATCATCGTGAAACAGAGAATTAATTTCAAAAATCTCAATTGTGTAATTCTCTTGAGTTTGAGTGTGGTTCTCTTAGCCTTGGGGTCGGATCATGACAAAGCTGATGGATTATCCAAAAAGAAGTATTTTATCGGGTTCATTTCGACTGTCGGGGCGGGTTTGTTGTTTGCCCTGTATCTACCCGTTATGGAGCTGATTTACAGGGAAGTTTATTGTTATTCCATGGTGATGGAAATGCAATTGATCATGGAGATCGGGGCGACGGCTTTCGCCACCGCGGGGATGGCGGCGGACGGCGGATTTGCGGAAATGAGGAATGAGAGCTTGAGGGTGTTTGACTTGGGTGAGAAGGCGTACTGGTGGACCATCTGGTTTAACGTGGTGACGTGGCAGCTCTGCTTCATGGGCACCGCCGGGATGGTCTTTTTGACGACAGGGTTGACCGGTGGAATCTGCATGACGGCCTTACTGTCGATGAACGTCGTCGGCGGGGTGGTGGTTTATGGGGACCATTTTGGTGGGGTAAAAGCGGTGTCTACAGTGCTCTGTGTTTGGGGATTTTGTTCCTATGTGTACGGAATGTATGTACGGACGAAGAAGGGGAAGGAAATGATCGGCGTTAACGGCGGCGATGATGATCGTCGAGAACAGCCGGTGGTGGAGATGGCGGCGGTCCGTTCGCAGCGCCTACGGAGTGTGGTAGACGATGATGATGATGACGTATGAACATTCTTGTATTTCAGGGAAAAAATACCGCTTAATTAGTGGTCTTGTCATTACTCGGTCGTGATTAAGTGGAAAACATTGTAGTGATTAATTAGTCACTCTAATGATTCAGAATTAAGATCTCTTTTTGTTGTAATACCGTCTTAGATAGGCACCGTGTTACTCCAACCGAACCTCGTATGTATTAATTATATCCGAATCTTAAAATATGTAACGGGTAATGAAAAAGATAAAATAAGAAAAACTTGATAAAGAAATAATGTGATTGAATCTCTCTAGACAATTATTGCAAGTTGGTTCGAAAACCATACAAGCTGCCTCCCCGTTAGGCCGTTACAGACTGAAAGTGACTACGTGCCTCTTAGCACTGCAACGGGTTTTTGCTCTTGGGATTACTCGAGTTAAAATTCATACAGACTATGAATTTTTTATTACAAATCTTAAGGATCAACAAATTCCGTTAGAGGTACAGAGTGTAGTTTCAAATTTAATTGCTCTTATAAATTCTTTCGAATCCTGTGAACTGATTAAAATTCAAAGATTCAAAATTTCGAATTCATAATATTATTTATTATCAGATGCAGTGTAATAGTCTAAGAATTTTATCTTAATAAAAGCATGTACTTAAAAGAAAAAAAAAAGTACATTTAAATGTTCACTAATAGATGAGAGTTGGATAACTAACTGATTAGTGGGCGCGCGTAATCGTATTAAAATTAAGTTGTAACTTAGAACCATTTTAGGCTGTTCAACTTGAACCGATTCAATCGTTTTTTTTCCCCCCCTTTTTCATTTGATTTTGTAGTCATGATAGTGAACGACTAATTAACGAGACGACTTTTTAGTGGCTGCTTTGATAGCCCCAGAATAGGATTATGAAAATGAAGTTCAAATGGAATGGTAGTAACAGTACGAAGATAATCTAAATACACTGGACATGAAATTGTTCAATTATTGTGATTGATTAGGGGGTACTGCAGCGGTTGATTGTTTAAGTACTGGAGGTATAAGACCAAAAAATAGTCCTATTTTGAGACGAGAAAAGGAGGGGGGCACGGATCTCATTTCTGTATTTACCTTGTACTTGATGAGAGTTCGTTGGATGTTGATTTTCTCAGTCGAAGAAGGCTCGAATCAATAAAGTACAAGACAGCAGCGGTTGATGGTTTGGAGATCATAAACTTCACGTGTTTGATGAGACAGCAGCTAAGATAAAGATGATAATATATAACGTCCGTGAAACGGTGAAAAGTTGAGCATAAAAGGCCGGTCTAAACGGTACGTAGGTAGCTACGAGCTACGCGTTATGGAAGGGAAACCATAAACGATGAGGTCTCGACTTTTACCCCAAAAATACTTTTCACAAATGTCCCTCTGCATGTAAGCCATGTATCAACTCTATTGCTTTTTTTGACCTCCTCTCAAGTCTCAGTTGGAAAAAAGAACATTGTAATTAGTTTTAGTCAAGATTTTCTATCCACATATCATGTATTAATTGTCTGATTTATCACCTTCTTTATCATACCGAAATAGAAAAAAATCTACCCTCCTTTACATTAACGAGGTGATGAACTACATTAATGTCATGTGATTAATATAGCTAACTACATTATGATGTGAACTGGATTGTATGTTTAGTCCATCGACCATCATGTAAGAATACAAGTGTTGTTTGAGTTGAGAAAACAATAAACTCCTATTTTAGGATGGAAGGAGGGAGTATTTTTCTAAAAGATGCAGAAAGATTAGGAAGAACATATAATACAAAAAGTCCGTTCTCATTTACGGACTGGATTATGAAGTATTTGAGCTACGATATATTGATGCCAGACTACAGGCATACAAAATTCTGTAGCAGTTTTACATGAAATTAATTAGTACTAAATGATCGATTGTTGACTATCTTTCTCTTTTGTGAAAAAAAATAATAACGATTTTTTTTAAAAGAAAAAATACTACTTCTGTTTCAAAAAAATAGTTCACATTGAGTTGTATTAAAAATATAAAAATTAAAATTCAATGTGTATTATTTTTGTGGGACGGAAGGAGTAATATAGTAAGATGTGATTGATAACTCTGATATATGCGTGGAGGATCGCCCGAGAGCGTGTATGGAGTCTATGTGAGCTAATAGGTAGGAGGAGACGCATGAATATGATCATCACTAGCTAGCGGGGGTGGCCGTCGTCAGAATAAAAAGAATTACAACTTTTGGCGGCTAACGGGAGGTGAAGTTATCGATGATAATTAATACTCTCTGCTTCTAAATATAAAATATTTTAATTTTGTCATAAATTTCATCTAATATTAATTTTTAATTAACGAAAAAATCTTAAAAATATATTTTTATATTCGTTATGTTCTTTTGATTGTTAGAAAATATTTTTAGAGTTTTTTAATCAATTAAAAATATTTATTAGGAGAAACTTAGGATAAATCAAAATGTTTTATATTAAGGACCGAAAGTAGTATAAAAAATGATGATAATTAATAACACTGCATGTAAGCTCATTAATTTGAATAAATAAATTGAAAGGCTTATCAAATGTGATCTTTGAAGGATGTATCCATTATTGTTTTAGGTCATTAGGAGCTACCAAGCATCTACGAGACTACAACCCAGTTAAAGAGGCAGACAAAATCCAACAGCTCCATTGGAAACTTGTTTTTGGTGTTATTTTGTCTACATGGTTTGATACGGTTGAATACAGAATACTTGAATTAGCTAGCTTGATTTTAGTGTTGAAATAATGAGAATATAAACTAGTGTCGACTAAACTTGCGTCGACTAAACTAATCCAACTTAATGTTTTTTTTTTGGAAAAAAATCCTACTTATTAATGTTAGATTACGAGCGTGTAGTAAATTGGGTGACTTTAGAATCGAAAGGAAACGATCTTTTGCCATGAGGAATTATAACCCATATATCCAATAGTATTCAATGGATGATTCACGATTAAATGAAGAAATCAATTCCCCAGTGATCATGGATTCATGATACTTCTTAATTGAGTATTGAATATAGCCTAGCACTTATTGTTAAAAGAAACGAATAAAAATCTCCCTTCAAAATCTAATGGTAATGATTAAAGATATACAAACCACACACAAATACTTGTGAATATCAATTTTCAATTAAGTTAGCTTATCTCTATCATTACTCATCTTGAAAATCATTTGCTCGCTCTGCTTACGAAATAAAAATCAAATACTCTCTCCGTCTCATAATTATTGTCCACTTTGAGTTTTCATTTTTAGTTCAAATTGTATTAAAGTGAAATATCAAATTAGACAATAATTTTGGGATGGAGGGAATAGTTAAATCACTTGAATTCTTTGTTTTTTTGGATAATGAGAGTATCAATTTAATTATAATTATCAACGTTTTCATTTGGGAGACTATTACAGTTTTAAGAGAACCTCCACCCGGAGCAATTCTTTTAGTTTGATTAAACTACAATGAATTAATTTTGTCATTTGAAAGCTCAAACATGTTTGATTAAACTACAATGAATTTATTCTATTAATGGATTACAAATTTACTATCGAAACAAAAATAATGAACCAAATATACCCTAAATTTTCTTTAGATTTTTGTTGATTTTTCACTAAAACAAAATCCTCTCTATGTAAGCTTTTATGTTGAGGAATCTTTTTCTGATTAATGAGATGATTTTTTTTTTGTTGAGAAATTAAATGATATATAAAAGCGAAATATTCTTATAAATTGAAAAAAAATGTTGTACATCTATAATCTGACTTTGATCATGGATAATCTAGAAGAGTTCGATCCTGGAGATGATGTGACGATGAATGCCAATCAAACTAGTCGGTCACCCAATCGTGTTTCTTAGACGAGTAGTCAGCTAGGTGAAAGTGATAGTAGCCCAGTTGATATTGATGTAATTATGAGTTTTTGAGTTAAAAAATGGTTCAAAAACAGGAGTAGAGATAAATATAGGTCGAATTTTGGGGAAGAGTAAAATACCGATATCGGATTCTTAAAATCCGATTTTCCAATGAAATCGGATTCTCAAAATCCGACCTTTACTTAATACGAAAAATTAATAAAATTAATCAAGATTAAGAGAAGGTCGGATTTTCAAATCCCTATCATATTAAAGTATAATATTTTTAAGAAAAACACTTAGTTTTTTTTTTTGAAATTAAATTTTGACCAAGGTCGGAAATCCGATTTTAGTATAAGGTCGGATTTCAGAAATCCGGGTAAGCTTAAATCGGATTTTGAGAATCCGGGTAAGGTAAGTCCGGATTCTCAAAATCTTAGTAAAACAAAATAAAGGATTGGTTTCTAAACCAATCCCAACCTATCAAAACAGCACCAAAACCAAATTTCACGCATAAAATTACTTATAAACACATTCTAAACACATCGAAACAAACATTAATAAATTCAAATCCCAAAATCTTCCAAATTACAACATTTATACATTAAAGAGTTATAAATCAAAGAGTCCTACAATTGAATTACTTTGACGACCTTTTCTTCCTTATAGCCCCGCCGCCGGGAGTATACTTCTTGGCCGGTTTACTAACCCTATCACTCTTGCGAACCTCGACCATTTTTTTTTTCTTTTGGGAAAGAAACACGAGGTGGAGAGGACTCTTCTTCTTCTTCTTCTTCTTCTTCTTCTTCGCCCTTAATGTAGTAATCCTCATCGCTTTCATTGCCTTCATCATCTTCATCATCTTCTTGCATCGGAGTTGGATTGGGATGAACTATGATTGTTCGATCTGAAATTCCCGGTTGCTTCTTCCTTCCTCCTCCAGTAGGCTTCGATGTTGTTTTCTGCGTGAGCACCACATTTTGACTTGACTCTGGGGGTCTTTTCTGAAGAACTTGAGTATCGGGCTGAGTGCTCATATCACATGGGCCCAAAGTCAGGGCACTGAAACTCTTGTCGAAGATTTGGAAGAGTTTATCCTCTAGACTATCACCGAGCCCTGGATTTTCCCGTAAGACTGCATCAGCGAGATGATATATGTCGCTGAGATTTAAAGACTGCAGAAAATTGAACCATGTTAATAAAGTATAAGATATAGCAAGAATTAAAAAATAAAAAAATTTTAAAATAAAATATCGACATATATCTTACATAAAATCTCTCTAGAGATGAAGATGAGTGATAACCCTGTGCTAGAGGGCCGTATTGAGTGGGATCAGTCATAAATCTGATAGTCTTCCTTTTGAAACCACGGCATGTAGTCTGATGTGCATTGAGGACCTAGTTCCGGATCAACTAATTCATGAGGGACGACGTGTTGATCTCTCACATTCCAATGAGGTCGTACCTCGGTGTGTTTTTGCACCCAATCATCATATGCCTTTCCAGTTCCAAGGCATCCGTGGTGTATCGCATTCCAGCGATCAAAGTCATTGATTAACGGGTACTTTGGCACAGTTTGCACGCATTGAAATTGACGAAGGACCCGATTGGGCTCGTATGGTTCTCTGATAGCCCAATAAAAGATCCACGTCCTACAGAGATATAAATGAACCCCCTCTTTACAGAAATCAGGGAGATCGTCGATGAAGGGAGTGTATGGAGTCCATAGAAACTGACCAAAATTAAAAAATTGGTAAAAAAAAATAGAGAAAAAAATGAAAAGGAATTTTATCGAGTAACTTAAATCAATACTTACATCTCCATCCCTTAGGCTAGATAACTGATCCCTGATGCCAGCAACACAATGAGCGGCGATGTTCGCTTTGGATTTTGGGCATTTCCACCTACGATTGAGACATAATAGGAAATAAAAATTAATAAAATAAATCATTGGATTGAGACATAATAGGAAATAAAAATTGATAAAATAAATCTCTAATTACCTATTTCCTAGTGGAGCGTCCGGCACCAAGTAACTCTCATCTTTAACCTTACTCTTCGGTTGAAGTCTTGGGATACGCTCCCAAACCCATAACTGAAATTTTAAATCAAACAGAAAAGGCACAAATTAGGAAAACAAACAAAAATATAATAAAAAAATATAAATAAATAAAGAAACAAAAAAATTTACCTGCATCAGTATATAACATCCGGTAATGTTTTTTTTCCCGGGCGCGGAAGCTTGACACAAAGCAAAGTACAACTTCTCCAACACAGCTGACCCCCAACTGTAGGCAGCACAGACATCCAAATCCTCGAGTATATTCAGGATCCAAAGCGGTATTCTGTTTCCCGTATTGTCAGGAATCAAGAAACCTCCAATCAGTAGTAAAAGTAATGCACGGGCCCTCTGCGTATAGGCCTCTCTTGAGACATTTTCTTGGATCGGACGCAGACACTCGTTGATTAAACACTCTGCATAAATCTTATTCCCATCAAACATGTCACTAACGAGTGTAATTCCCAACAATCTAAAGCACATCGCCATCCACTGTGCCATAGAATTCTCAGGTGTCATCCTCTTTAAGGGCTTTACTGAATGCCTCATGGTTCTCGAAAATGGCTTTCGCCCTATGATGGTCATAAAGGTATAATAATGAGTCATCTATTGGAGCCGGATTAAAATGTTGCAGAGTAGCTCGAACCCTCCATTTTTTAATCCTACAATACCAAATACTATCAACATTTATCAATACCAATACTATCAATACCATGTTCCATAATCTATCAATACACAAACACACAGAGTCATAAACACACAAACACACACACACAGAGTCACCGGGAAACAAACACACACACAAACAAACAGAGTCACAAACACACACACACACACACACACACACACACAGAGTCGCCGGGAAACACACACACACACACACACAGAGTCATGGGGAAACACACACACACACACACACAGAGTCACCGGGAAACACACACACACACACACACAGTGTCACCGGGAAACACACACACACACACACAGTGTCACCGGGAAAAAGAAAACGAAAATGGTGAATTAAAATGAAATAACGTGACAAATTACCTGAAGGTCGCCGGGGAGGGAAAATCGCCGGGGAGGGGAAAATCCGAGTAGGGTTGGAGAAGAAGGGGGAGTCGATTTTGACTCCCCCAAATTTTGGTCAACCGAATATATAGTCCTCGAAAATCGAATTCTGAAAATCCGATTTATTCAATAAGTGAAAAGGTCGGATTTTAGAAATCCGACCTTGGACAGAGAGTTGTGAAGTTGGTTTCAAATTTTCACCAAAATCCGGCCTTGGAGTGAATAGTGCAAAAATCGGATTCTGAAAATCCGATTTAGGTTCTACACCGGATTTACAAAATCCGATTTTCTGTGAAACTCGGATTCAGGAAATCCGACTTTATGCCTAGATCGGATTTTGCAATTCCGATTTATACCCTAAAACTACAAAATATTGTTGCACCTGGCTTTTTTTAACAAGTACTAATATCAAACACAATTACAATATATTAAATGGACTAATTCATTAAGCATACAATACAATTCAAAAGAACTAAAACATAAACTACAAATCGAACAAACTAAAGCATAAACTACAAAAGTTTTGAGACATGAAACATTGTTTTGAGACATAAACAACAATTCAACCAAACAATCCTAGTCGTTGTGAATACCATCGGCGTCCCAATTGATCTTGAGCCTTGTCCTATCGGATTTCTTGTGTGATTTTGGGCACGCATTGGTGAAATGATTCCTTGAGCCACATCTCAAACATTCACCCCTCGATTTGCATCCCCTATAATCCATTTGCATTTTAAATCTCTTCTTTTGCCAACGACCGGGTCCAGCATGCATAATAACTCGCTCGTAGTTAGGAACGAGTCTCCATCCAACCTTAGGCCATCTTCTCATATCAGGGACCGGGGAAAATTCATCGCATCCACTGAATTGGTCTTGCCAAGCAACAACCCTGAAATATGGATTCACCGTATTGATTGGTTGATCTTTTATCTTCCAACACACAGCTAGTGCATGTGTACAAGGGAACCTATACTCTTGCCACTTCTTGCAAGAACACTTCTTCTCTTCATATTTCACAGTGTACGTATTGTCCCCTTTACCACCAAGTCGGGCTCTACTTTTCACCTTGAACTTGCCATTAATAGCACCATAACGGTTGACTTTGTGTTGCGCGGCTTTCTTTTCTTTTTTCTTGAAGTCTTCCCACAAGTCAGTTGGGACCGGCGTAATACATTTCCTCGACTTCACGTATTCTTCCTGGAACAAATCAACAGTCTTAATAAAAGTGGCTTCCACCAAAGCTCGGATCGGCAAGAAACGAACGCCCTTGAGGACGTTGTTGTAGCTCTCAGAAATGTTCGTTGTCTGGTTACCCCAACGATAGTGTTTGTCTTTGGCAAGAGTCCACTGACAAGCATCAATCTCCTCGAGATACAAATAAGCATCATTGCTAAAATCACGTAGCTCTTTCCTTAGTTCTTTGAATTTAGACTTAGAAAGTTTCGTGCCCATCTCCCAACACAACCTTTTGATCTTTTTACTTCGAAACTGCGCCACCAAATTACTACGGACGTGACGAAGGCAAAACCGGTGGTATGCATTCCATTCGGGCATTAGGCGTATTGCACTGATGATACCCTTGTGCCGATCGGATATAACACATACAGGACGGTCGGATATAACATGATTTCTCAAATGCTTCAAGAAGAATGACCAACTTTCCTCACTCTCTTCATCCACGATCGCATATGCAATTGGCAGGATGCGCTTATTCGCAGTTTTGACCATTGCAGCAAGTAATTTACCTTTGTATCCGCCACACAAGTGCGTCCCGTCGATACTAATCACCGGAGGATATTTAGCAAAACAATCAATTGCAGACTTGAATGCCCAAAAAACGTATTTGAACGTCCTCTCTATATTGGTCCAACCCGGTTGCCATTCCCACTCTACAACTGTGTCGGGATTGCTCTTCTCTAGGGCGGCGAAAAACCTAAATTAAAATAAAAAAATTAATCCTTATTTTATTCCTAAATTACAAACAAATCAAAAAAATTAGATAGGACTTAAGTAAATACCTTGGAAGTATGTCAAAATTGGAAACCCAGTCGCCGTAAACAAGATCGATAGCTTTTCTCCTTCCCTCCCATGCCCTGTGGTAAGGAACATCGACATGCATACGGTCTTTCACTTCTTCCTGAACGAGCTTCACTTCATAATCTGGGTCCAACTCAACCTTATGCCTTATGAGATGCGTAATAAGCGTTACGCTCACATTCCGATTATTATTTTCCTCGGTGACATTCATACAATTGTGCTCGGGCACCCATTTCACAATCTCCCACAAACCGTGGTCTCTCAAGGAGGCACGTACCTTCCAACGGCAAGGAACATAACCCTTAGGGGTTGACTCTTTTAGGGATTTGCACCAAATATACCATGTTGAACCATCACTTTCCTTCACATAAAACTCTCTCTCTTTTGCTCTATGTTCCACGCTGCAATACCATTTTTTGCTTCTTCCTTATTCTTGAAACAAGTCCCTATCCCAATTGTTGCGGTTGTCCCGTCCCACATGGTAAGTTGAAATTCATCCTTGTCCACTTTTGTATGATCCCATGTACCCTGTGAACGATATATGTGCCTGTCCTTTGTGGCGAATTTGTCTTCGACTTCTTCATCACTCTCCCGACTTCCTTCGGATATTGATTGGTTTTCATCGCTTTGATCACTTATCGATGTGTAGTCCTCATCATCTTCACCGTGATTATATTCCATGTGATCGCCATCCTCCATAAACGGTCCACCCACATCATCATCTTCTATGTAATCGACATTCTCTCAATTCGGCCTACCACTACTTGTCCCTACTTCCAAATGGGACCTAGAAGTACCCGCCACCTCCAAATCTACATACAAATCAATATATGTCGAACTTGGGAGGAAATACAACACTTGCAACGATGCGTCGTCCTTGATTTTGGCAATACGCCTAAAACCATTGCCCATCGTATGATACAAAATCGATAGGCTCAAATTCACATTCTCTCTATTCCACCCCGCTCTTTCACAAATCAGTCCAACCAAATCATTGTACAATACCTTATGATCAATCACAAAGGAATCGTCCGGCATGTTGTTAAAAGTATTCACAATCCCATTCTTCACAACAAATTTGGTCGACCAATAGACATTAATGAAATATGGACCGTTAAACGTCATTTATATCTGTTGATTACATGAATTACAACACATCATGAACAAATTATTAAAAAAATGACACAAACAAGGCATTATCAAACAACTTATTAGGCCAAATTCAAGCATTTTACTAAATTGAACGTTCAATACCACGTATACAACAACAATCATCAACTACACCCAACATCAACCCTAAAACCTTATAAATCATCCTAGTTCTACACTTTTACAAAGAAAATAATAACAATAATTCTAAATACATCAAAACATTAACTAACCTTCTTGTGAAATGGTTTTAAGACATCCGTTGCGAAGAATCGTGAACAAAATCTTCAAATCGCCACTAAAACACCTCCTCCTTCAAGAAATAGCCTTCTTTACCAAAAATCCCGATGTGTGAACAGTGTTTTCCATCGCCCCATTATAACACAAAAATGTCGGATTTCTAAAATCCGAGTTTATAAATAAAATCGGAGTTAGGAAATCCGATTTACATGTAAGGCCGGATTTCAAGAATCCGACCTTCTGCCAGCTAATAACGTCCATTCAATGCCGATATCTACTGTTAGGTATGCTTAAATAAGGTCGTAAATCCGACCTTGTACTGTTCTTAATTTTTAAATCTCCCACCTATATTTTTTTAATAAAAATAAACAAGGTCGGATTCCTAAAATCTGACCCTTTACTGTTCATTAGTTGACTTTCAATACATTTTTCTCACATGTATTTTCCGAAAAAAATTATTATTTTATTAAATCGGATTCCTTAAATCTCGGATTTTGTAAATCTGATCTCCATATTTTACTTTACAAAAAAAAAATATATATAGATCTCTCTATTGCTTTTTCTAGGCAATTTTTTAACCAAAGCACCCATGTAATTATATACGAGGCGCGAAGGTTGGAAACTATGGTTCCGCATAGCCTTTGAGGTCCGAAGAGTATTATGATCATTTATGGCGAGACCTTCAGAGATATCCAAGAATTAATTGTTTTAAGTAAGAATTAGTTTACAAGAAAAATTAATATCTTTTCATGTTATTTTTCTTTTGCTCACATAGTTATAATACGATTTAGTCGAGAATTTTCACTTATAGAATATATTATTTTAGGTTATAAGGCCTTAGACTCCTTTATTGTATCAAAATAATAATCTGATTCTATTAAAAAAAAAGACTTGGAAAACATATCTTATTTCATCACAATGTATGCAGTGTGTATGATGTATCTTATCTGATTTTCTTTTTTGCAGTTTTTCCCCCTTTCGTAATCCTAGCATTTTACGTTACGAAGGGAAAAAAAGAATTTTCTTCATGTTTTCAAAGTAAATATGTTGGTAAGTGAATATATAATTAATATGTTAATACTTGAACTATATATATATTTTGGTATTTATTACACCAATATATTTGCATCGGTTTATCCGAATTGAGACTACAATCCATTAATGTTATAGATTCATCAAGAGGCTTGATATTCATTCGAAAATTAAAAATAAAAAAAAAATTAAAATACCAAAAATCAAACTCGGTAAAATGTAAGGTCTACATAGGTCATACAAGAAAAAGGAAAATAATATTCATCTCACCAAATTCAACTCACCTTTCCATCTCACCTTACATGTCACCTTACATGTCAATTATTTATTGGATCATAAATTTCCTACACTTGTGCACCACTTTCTACACCAAATTTAAATAACTCAATTTTAATTTTATTTTTGTTATTAATATTGGTCCAATTAATAAATCATTTGTAATATTATAATTTTTTTATTAAGGGTTTAATTTTTTCGGGATTAGGGTCTATTTATTTTAAAATTTTAGACATGAAAATATCCAAAAAGTCTATAAATCTAATAAAAAATAATTAAACTTATTAAATTTCACCCAATAATTAAATGTCATGTAAGGTGAGATACAATGGTGAGATGAATTAGTGAGTGGTGTATCATTACTCTAAGAAAAAATATGAACGCAGCGTTTTACCACAAGTATGAGCTGGCAAAATGGCGCCCGCAAACAAAGGCCGAATCCGCCATAGCTTCTCAATCTCTCTTGACAGCCACCAAAAATTATTTGCAGCACAAATTTCTTACTTTTGCTCTTTTCTCTTCTGTGACATCAACAATTCTCAGGCCAAATTGTTTTTCAATCATTAACGAACATTCGAACATTGTTATTCATTTGAATATACGAGTGAAAAAATTTTCAAAAAATTCTCACCTTTTTCAAAGAGTATATGATGCTATGATAGCCTGAATTTCTGCCCATTTTTGTGTGTGTCTGTGTGTGAGAAGTACAGTAGTAAGAACTCAATCTAATGGGTTCAATACAGCTTCTCCATTCACCAATTGTGTCGTTATCATCTTCTCCGAAGACCCTTTATTCCCAATTTTCCAATGATTACAACAAGGTTTCATCTTTTTTCAGTATACATTATCGTAATGAATGCGAGTGCAATCAGATAGATAGGTGGAGATGTGTCAGAAGCAATAATAGAAGAAGAATGGGAAGGGCAGTATTAGTGAGTAATAAGGAAGATACTGAAGTGAGTAGTTCCAGTGCTACTTCATCATCTTCTGTTTCTACTTCCCCTGCTGAAGATAAGGGTCAGGCAGAGGAAGCTGACCCTGAAGCCCTTGAGTATATCTCTCAAATCAAAAGGGTAAGTATATATGTTTTTGAATTTTGGATTTTGTCCCTATCTTATGAAGTTCGAACCCTTTTGATTAGGCAAAGAGGTTGTAAGTTTTGTGTGCTGAAGCTCAATCCAGATGCTTTTATTTTCCACAGGTCTTGGAGCTGCTTAAAACTAACAGGGATATGACATTTAACGAGGTGTGCCTTACTATAATTCTTTAACCTTTCCCGTTATTTAGTGGTTCTTTTTAAGTATGTGGCTAAGTTTCTTATCCTTAATTTTTCTTGTTGTTGTTGTTCTTGTCAGTGTTACTAGTTCAAATTTGTGTTCTCTGTTGATAATTTTTTTTTTTTCGATATACGATTTGTTTATTTGCTCAAGATGAAGTGAAGCGCCATTGTATTAGATTTCATTCTTTTGAAACGAATTCTGTGATTTTCCTAACTAAAGAATAGTTTTACTATACAAAGTCCTAATCGTTGAATTTGGCTTTTTCCTTCCTGGTTGCTTAACTGTACTCTTTTGCCTTGTTCTTCTGTCTGCAAACAAGTGAGCACCTGGTTTTCAAGTTGTGTTCAGGTTTATGGATGTGTAGTAATTGGAATTTTTATGATTGTTGCTTTTTTTTTTCTTTTTTTTTTTTCATACTTCAATTAGTGCCTATTCTTGAGTTTCAGTTGCGGCCATTTGCTATTATATGGTGCATTCTGTTTGTACCAGTTCAGCAGTTTTTGTCATGAAGTTTGCTCTCTTTCTTGCTTGCCAGGTCAAGTTAACTATAATGATAGAAGATCCCAGGGATGTCGAGCGGAAGCGGCTGCTAGGTATTGACGATGAAACTGCCCCAACGAGGGATGACTTGGCAGCTGCTTTAGAAGAGGTAACCACATTGACATTTCCCATTTTTCTGGTTGTTTTCCTTCCTGTGATGTTGACTGGTGATAACTACTAAAAACTGGTGAGGATCGGCTGAGAATTTAAGAATCCTAAAATATTACTCTCAACTCTAGCTGAACCCTCAGAAATTGAAATGTACTATCTATTATTACCTATAATATATGAGAACCAGAGCGAAATAGGTAACTTTCGAGTTATATTCCATCTACTGTTCTACAACTCAGCTTTCTTACTTTTAAGCAATAAAGTAGAGGCATGAGAGCAAGCTGACGGAACCATATCAAACTCTTTGCTCACTAATACTATAATCCACAACTTCATTGACTAATTTTCATGTTGAGGGTTGGATGCCCTGAAATCCCTGCCTGCATACGATATCTCAAGGCTATGCTTGATCATCTTAGTATACAGAAACTATTTTGAGGAAAAGGTATTTGGAAGTAATCCTTCTGTTTATGCAGTTAATTCAAAGAGTGGGAGGATTGGTTAGAAATGCTAGAGGATATCTTAACTATGGTTCTATGTGCTCTGATGATGAAAGTTTTAGTTGTTAGTGTCTTCCTGTTCGAGGGAAGGAGTCCTAGGTTTTTATAGCAATTCATGTCAAGCATTACACACCCTATCTTGATATGGAAAGGCTTCTGATACTAAACCTCTATTTAGAAAGTTCTAGAACCCCATTATTATACTGGAGGAATTCTGAATTACTGATTACAGATTTATCTATAGTCTCGCTTTGTTCATTATGATTTTGTCTACTATTTAGCATTGTAGGTTGCAGAATAAGAAGAGTTTTGTAGTCCTCCTAGATAATTGTGGTTGTGTAATCAACTATTTGCACAGTTAAGACAATAAATATGGTCGTTCAGACACTATAGTACCTGCCTGTAAGATTTTTCTGTTTGGTGGAATTTTAATTTTGTCAGACATATTTTAGGTAAATGAAGGTAAAATTCCCGAGGATCGTCTAGCTCTGCAACTACTGGCTGAAGAACTGAATGCATGGCCAAATTTGGAGGTATGCCAAACTTATGAAGTGAATGTTAGTTATTAATGTTAAGCTTGTTTCCGTCAATTTGGGGTTAGTTTGTCCTGCTGCTTCTATGTGCTGCAGAATCATTGCTCATATTGTTGATATCACAGTATCATAGTATTGCATCATTGCCTAAGAATGATGGAGCAATTAAATTTGTGCTTTTGGTCTACTTGAATTGTATGTCTAAGTTTATGACTTTGGAGTTTCTGCATAATCTTAAAAATTCTCTAGTTTCTGTGTACTGCCGAATTACGTGGAAAAATGTTAATCAACTGCTACTAGCTTTTGTTCGCATTTGGAATGCATCATTTATAAAGAAGTTGCGTTGTTGTCTGAGCATGATGGAGCAGTCTTTATGGTTTCAGTGTAAGTCAATATTTATGTCTAAGTTGTTAAAGATAGTCAGTGAAGATGCCTTGATTCCTGTAGCTACAGGTGAACCTTTGTATTTCTTTGAGACTTTCTGGGAAATACCTAGTTTTAAGAACATTACCAGAAATCAACCTTTTCTGCTGAGATATTATAAATTTAGCCTATAGATGTAAAAGGAAAAAGTTAATATTCTTCGAAATCTTTTTTTATTACACATTGGAAAGAAAAGTTAGAATTTTTTATATAAATCATGGAGTCAGATATATGTTGCTTTTGTTTGAATTGCAGTAATTAGGTAGTCATCCAAAAATGTCTGTATTTTGCTGGTTCTTATGCCTGTGAGGTGTATCTCTTTATGTGTTAGTCCACTGTTGCTTTTCCCTGCTACCTTCCTGTCTTCTGCTTCTATTTGCATGAATCCCTGTCTTTATAAGGTTTTCTCTTAAGGTTTGTTGAAGCCATCACCTTTTATCTGGCCAAGTTTCATTGAAGCATTTTCTTCACATCGAGTGTCAGCCTAGTTCCTAAATAATCTTCAGAGATATTCCTGAGACTAGAGCTTGATCATTTTCAGTATCCCTTGTTTAGGTAGAGCTGCCAAAGAAGAAAGCACCTGGGAGATCTCTCTATGCAAAAGCCACAGATACTGGGGTTAATCCCAAAGAGGCTGCTAAGCGACTCAACATAGATTGGGATGCAGCTGCTGAGTTTGAAGAGGAAGAGGATAGTGAGGACGTCGATGTGCCTCCTGCTGTGGTTTGATCTGCTTCTCTATGCATTTTCTGTTATCTTTGTTTCAGTAATTTAAGTGTTCCTTCAGTTGAATCCTTCTTGTAAGAAAAATATATCATATTTTTGCTTGGCTGTATTAAATCTTCTTAATTTCTACCATTCCCCGGGGTTTATAATAATAGCTATCCAATTTATCAAATTCCAAGATCAGCATCATAAGATAGTAGTGGTTGCACATCCTCATTTGAATGTTTAACAATCCTACATAAGTCTAACTCTTACATTTCTGGCTGAAGACTCTGAATGTGGTTTTTTGGTGGCTTAAGTTAAAAGAGGAATCCTCTTGTAATCTGTTATTTCCATTTGAAACACAACGCAGGTAATATTAAGTTTCCAAAGTTTAACTTCCTAGAACTGCACCTAAACCACACCCATCTCTGTCATTTGATGTACTTTCCTGGTTCATCAACTGAGTTAAGACCATTGTGTCCTGCAGGGATATGGAGCTCTTTACTTGGTCACAGCATTCCCAGTCATAATTGGAATCTCGGTTGTGCTGATTCTGTTCTATAATTCTCTGCAGTAAAGGATTTACAGTAGATGTTTGCATAAACTGGCACAAAATTTGATCACTCGGGACGCTGTTTTTTTCCCTAGATGATGTTGAGCTGTAGATATTGAAAGGCATATTGTTACTCAGAAATGACATTGTTAACCTTTGTATAATAAGGGATGCATTTGCCTCAGTTTGTACCTTGCCCTTCAGTGAAGTGCGATTTTTTTTGTTCTTTCTTTTATTTTTTGAAATTTTTTATTCCCTTTTGATTGTTGGTCTGACTTGAGAGGAGACTAAATTTTGCTTTCTAAATCTCTGAGTTGTACATACGAAAGTCGAAACAGAATATTGTTGAATTTCAACATACATTTTGAGGCCAAATATATGTTTCTTTTTTCTTTTTTTTTTTTGTTTCCGGGTTGATTTTGGTGCCTGCAATATTTTAATGTAATCAGTTGAGTCAATTGGGAAGATGGCAGTCACGATTGAAATTTAATATGGAAGTGCCATACACGATCTAACTCCAGTTTCTTAAAATTGTCCCAAAATCATTCCTTGGGGCCAGTTAATCTTTAATATCATTCTCCTTTCTTTAAGAGTATTAGCCTCATATCATGCCTGGTTTTATGGATGCTAAAGAAGACGAATACATTACTGAAGATGCAGAGTTTGGTGTTATGATAGCTGAGGACGACCAGCAGAGTGAGAAACACATATCAGTAGATCCTTCCTCCCTCAGAGAATCAAATAATCCGCTGCCGAAAACTGACGAGTTCCGTCTTCCGCCCCTTCCCTTGCCAACCAAACCGAAATTTCTCAGCTACAGTCTGCCAAATTCAGCTTCTTCCTCACCAAAGTTCGGTTCAATGATCTCAGGAAAGAAATCAAGAAATCTGAACCAAGTTTCTCCGCTGTCAGGCAATTTCGCCCGGCAAGATTCTGTTGCGCTTTCCAATCTTGAGCGCTTAAGAGAATCACACCTTCAGAGAAGCAAGTCGTATGGCGATGGAAGAACAAGCGCCCCGCCTGAAGCGCTTGACCTTTTGATGGTAAGGTCAAGTCTGAAGGGTGATAACTGGAAGCCTAACAAGATTGATTCCTTCAAGCCTGAAGTTAAGATGGATAGGAAAAGCAGCTACGAGGATGAAATGGCAGAAGAATCGAGCAGCGAAAATGTCAAATGTGGAGCTTTATGCTTGTTCCTTCCAGGGTTTAGCAAAGCTACAAAACCAGTGAGACCTAGGAAGGAGGAACCGCTAGAAACTGTATATTTCAAGGAACCTGCAGAGAACAACCAAGGACTTGCTGTATCCAAGAGGGTTTCGCTGGAAAGATTCGAATGTGGTTCATGGAGATCATCGGTCATATTAGATGATTGCGAGCTCCCAAAAGAAGCCTCCTCCAATCTTTTCTACGATCTTCCTCTGGAACTGATCCGCGGCAATGCTAATGACACAAATTTGCCAGTGACAACAGCTTTTGTTTTCGACAAGGATCCAAAAGGGGTGCTCAAGAAAAGTTCATCAAGGGGAACATCTAGGAAATCAACCGATCGCCACGTTCGATTCTCGACTTCCTCTCCAACTGCTGATGATCTCCAACACCAGGCCAGAGAGGACTTCAACTCATTCTTAGCAGCTCAGAATGCCTAAAATAAACACCTGTAAATGATGTATCTCAAGTCCTATATACAAGGATTGATATTTAATCCTCCCTCATGTTCGAATATCTTAATTTTTTGGGCGTAAATTTTATGGAGGATTTTCGGTTGCTAAGGTTAATTTAAACTACTTCCAGATTCAAGGTATCAAACGCAAATAAACCTCTTCCCTTTAGTGACGTTGTAACATTTTTAATATTGCCACATTTTATTCACAAGACCAAATCAAACTTAAGATACCAACATTTTCATTCTCTGAGAAAAGACTTACTGCTCAAAATTTAGGATACATCAAAATTGTGCAGTGAAACAAGACTATCATGATAAACAAGAACTTCCAATCTATCCCTTTTCCCATAAAGTCCTAAGTTTCTAGTTCTTTTGCTTTGTACATCAAATAAGACTAGCTCCCTAGAACAATTTTCCATGATGATGACGCCTCCATTTTCCCAAACTCCTAAAGGCCTCTCCACCCCAGAAATGGGGCCAATTTTCAGTAGCTTTGTCCAATTAGCAGAACCTAATTCATTCACAATCCAAATATCAAAAACTTTATCAATTTCTTTCACATGATACACGACTATTGCAATGGAATCATTCCATTGCATGATGGCCCTTGTAGTTCTTTTACTCCCACCAAGAACATCAATATCAGATGGAAATGGCGTCTCTTGGAAAACTTCCTTAGTAAAATCAAAAGAGAGGATCACCTCATCTTGATCATAACGTTGTGCCCACCAACAAAACAATGTTCCATTTTTGTACACCGTGCTCCATACATTTGTATGCATGATATTAGCTGGAACACTTGCGTCTTGTTTCTTCCACGAACTCGTTCTCAGCGAATAGATTTCTACGTGATATACACAGCTGCGATTATCTGAAACGCAAAACAGAATCTGAATAACTTTGAAATCATTTGATTTGGAGTCGTATCCTAATCCTACATCGCCTCCACGAACTTTTCCATCAAAGGGTCGCGTGATTTGCGAACATGGAAGCATCTTAATTTCTCTGGTTGAAGGATTGCAAAGCACAATCTGATCCGGATAACCATACAAACAGATAATCCCATTGGAAGGGCCGATGATCCTAACACGGCCAAAATTATTACCGAATGAAGGTGGAAGATCTTGAGGGATGAATGTTTCCAGCGATGAATCAGCAGAAATTGTCATGATTCTTTTGTTATTCATGTTGTCGCGGCAGCAAATGAGTAGATGAGCATTTGTGGCCATATTTTTCGTATGTTGCGATATGAAACTTTGTTGCTTAAGAAGAGCATGCCATGATTTGCACACAGATTTGAATTTCATCAGACATTTTGATGGCAGCCATGAAAGAATTTGAAACACTAAATCTTCAGGGAGGTTCATGGTTTATCTCATTAGTCATGGATCTTCGTCTTGTATTTTACTCGACAACGATCATTTGTAAATTGCAAACCAAAAAAATAAAAATAAAAATCATACAACTTAAAGAAAAAATTAACCACGGTCATGGATTTGTTTAACACCATTCAAATTACAATAACTAAGAATTCAGGTCTCACCTATAAGATTGGAGAACCACAAAATAATAATGGATATAAAAAAATGGTACAAAATATTTCGAACATCATACCAATTAACTTATGCTACAATAAACAATCAATAGGAAATCAACCCATCCCGACCTCAAAATCTCCATGTTGCCACTCCAAAGTGAAAGCACAATAATTATTCAAGAAGGAAGCTCCCCTGTGAATGTCCAACATCATCTTGATCCTTGAATCTATACATATTTTCCACATGGTTGTAACGGCAGTGATAGACTAACATACTCAAATACGTTTTGTCTTCACTACCGTCCTCTTTCTGTGGATCGGGCCATCGATACTGTTTCTTGTGGATTCTAGGTTGCTTTAAATCAACATAAAGTTTCCTTGAATCCTCTGAACCCAATGAGAACACCTCCCCTGTTGCTAAACTGACCCAATTTCTTCTACCATATAATATTTTCTTCGACATGGTTGTTTGGAGAGGAATCTTCTCTCTCACCGAAACTAGATCCTTTCCTTACACTCTTCTAGCAACCAAATTTCAGTTGGTTCTTTAGCTCCATATTTGCGAGTAAGACATGCTAACGAGCCTCCTAAATTGAGGAGTTGAGCATTGAGATTTAGAGATTCAGAGATCTTTAAACTCCGAAAAACTTCTCTACCAAATTCAAAGCTGATGATGTGGTCACGATCAATCCAATATAGCCAATATATGACACCGTTGACATAAATATCGGAACCGTGAAGTCGCCCAGGTGGATCCATGGTTGTCCTCCATGATGAGTTGCCGGCTGAACCAATTGTGAAGATACAACATTTTTGTTTAGAATCCTCATGACTGCAGGATGTATATAACACTTTGTATACTCCACTCAACTTGTCGAAACCCAAATTTAATGACTCAGAATACCCTTTGAAATCTTTTCCGATTTGGGGAAGATGAAATATATGTCGGGTACTAATGTTTAACACCAACACATGATGATGAATGTAAGAGTATAAACACACTAATCCATTTAGAGGATGAGAAATTGTAAGTCTAATATCCGTGCCATGGTTTATCTTTTCATCCAGTTTGAGTTGTATCGGCGGTGGCACTATGAATCGACTCTTTTTTCCAGTATCATGACTCTTAAAATTTATGATTAGCTCATTTTTGTAGACCCAAAAGGTGACTAAATAATTACCTCCAGCGGGGACCGAAGAGAGTCTCGCATGCTTGTCAATGAATTTGGGATCGGAAATCGTCGAGTTCCATAGTTTGCAAACACACTTGAATCGATGCAGGGATTGTGTGGGAAGTCTCATGAGCACTTCAATCATCAAGTCGTCGGGGATTTCAACCGACTCTGTTGATCCCTTCATGCGCCGCCCTTTCTTCCTTTTCGACGACTTTTCTAGTGATGAGGATGATTTGCGCTTTAAATTCTTCAAAATTATTGTTACGAGTAAAAAGCGGATACAACTCTGAGGAAATTCTGAAAAAACGAGAAAAAAAAAGAGTGAACCTCAAAACAAGTCATCAACCTTTAATATATTTTCATTCTAGGTCATCAATTAAATTTATTTGTAACACAGATTACCTTACTAAAGTTTTAATCCATTTCAGATTATTCTGTTAATTTTGGCCGTTAAATAGTGACGAAAATCTATTTTTCACATGTTTTTGAGTTCAGGGGTATTTTTGTCATTTTATTATTTTATTATTTTTTGATCTTTAAAAAATTTTTTTTTTACAATTTTTTTTCTTATACTTCTTAACTTGTATTCACTGATAGTATAATTCTATATTTTAAAAATTTATTTTCCTTTTGTATTTTAATTTCTAGATTATAAATTTTTTTAAAAAAAATTTAAGAAATAAAGAAGAAAAATTCGAGTTAAAGTAACCATGAAAATTAATAATTTATCATTTTAAACAAAAAAAAAAACTAAAAGAATTAGCTAAGACAAGTTTCTTCTAGGTTATTTAATTTTTTTCAACTCGATTGAATTATTTAATTATTGTTTTTCACGTTTCTTATTCCTTTTTTTTTAATAATCTAGAAGTTAATATACAAATGACAAATTAAAAAATAGAAATAAGATTAAGTTTTTCACGTTTCTTTAGTAAGGTAACCATAAATTAAGTTTTAAAAAATACTCTACATTAATTGTTTTATTTGTTCTTTCAAAATTAACTATATCATGTCTTCCGAAATAATAATCTTCGTTAATTAAATTTTTTTATAAAGCATAATAACTTTTATATTATTAATCATGAATTAACTTTTATTTATTAACTTAGGTTATAATTAAATGTGAAAATGACAAATTTTAAGTAATTTTTGTTTTTAATGATAAAAAAATGGAAAAAAAAACCAAAAAAACAAAAGAAAATTAATGAAATTTATATAAATCAAAAGTCATTTTAGTCATTTCAATGTTTGACCCATGCTATATAGTAGTATTATCAAAATCGAAGGGTTTATGGTAGAACGGGCTAAAACCTGGGGATAAAATGTAGTAGTATTTCCAACGAATGTTATACTTCCATCTGTGGGACGAATTTCAGGAAATCAAATTGAGGTGGACGTTAATTCTCGCAAAAACATGGGGTCGGCAATCATTCAACCTCGTACCATGCTTTCAAAAGTGGGTATTTTTGCAAGATAATCATTCATTGCATGATGGCCACCACTTTAGGGTTTAGGATCACCAAATTATAAACATCAATTTTTGGAGGAGTTCCACCACAAAGTGGATCTGGTTCATCCAAAATGTACCCCAAAAAAGAATGGTGGCCTAATTCTCAATTAAACCATGCGTAAATATCCTTCTTCCTTATTCTTCTAAGGCACGCAATGAAAAGGGAAGGTATAAACATAAATTGAAGTGTTTATTCAAATTTGAAATGAGGGAAAGACATAACTTTTACTTAGACCAATAAAGCACACCACATTACATTTAGACAACTTTGACATTCCGGCTGACATTGTCTTGGCTATGCGTAACGAAAACATTCATGTAATAATAACCACATAACTAAAAAGAAGTTAACTAAAACCCCAAACAGCAAGAGACAGCTTTTATTTTTATTTTTTTTGACATTGTCTGAATATTTTGATCAATAAGACCGGACACACTTTCCATGAGAGGACAACCAATGATCCGGCTCGCAAGTGCAGCCGATGGACAATCCGCATAGAGTTGTGAAAGTTGCAGATACTATGCAGTCACCACCGCAAGAACCTTCTGGAAGTTGGAGCAAGGTTATGTTAGCATCATCAGGGAAGCCGTTTGGGATTTTCCTAGCTGATTCAATACGTATCATAACGCCTGCACAAATGATGATACAAATAAAATAAAACAAATCACCCTTTGATATCAAATTGCAAGGCAAAAATATTTATCAGCACTATAAGTTTATTACTTACATGATGCTGTAAGAACCAAAAACAGGATGAAGCAACCAGTGAATGGTACTAGTTTTGCCATTGCTTGCGGGATTTCTTTTATGAAATTAAACTTGAGAAGTGGGATTGCCTGGAAACTGTTGTTTTAGGTGGTTGGTTTGGTTGAGAAATGGATGAAAATGGGATTGAATTTTATAGGAGATTCGGATCCATTGCATGGCTTCAACGTGTTGCGGTGGAGCATATGAGGTGTTCCAGTGCATGTATCATGCATTACAAAGTTACGAGTCATTGATGAATCATCTATTCCAACGCAAATACTGTGTATGATGCCATCTATGCCATTAATTAAACTGTCAGAATTTGTTTCCTTTCAATAGAGAAAGTGAAAAAGAAAAAATAATTGTCATTGTTTTATTAACACCTCGCATTTGGGTGGAACATTCAATTGCAGTGGATTTATTGATAGAGGAGTAGTATTTATGAGGAAAAATTTATAATGAAGAAGTGGTTCAAATTATATTTGTCTATATTTGCATATTATATATATATATGATTTGTCTAGAGTTTCGTTGTTCATTTTCATGGAACCGTCTCGTTCTTTTTTCAACCAATCAGACTTGAGAGTACAAGATATATTCATGAGGTGAGTAAAATACTAATATATCCCAGACTAATTTTCAATTGAAAAAAAGGAATTATAACTACATAGATAAAAATTGTCTAAAAATTAACCCATAAATAAGAACCATTTACTTATTTATCGACAAGTTGTCTGCCACAGTCCATTTCTTTATCCAAATTTCTGCTTTATAACAAAAATTAGTGTTTTTTTTTTGTATGGCTGTTTCGGGCTTTTTTTTTTGGGCTACAAGCATAGGGTTTCCTTCCTAGTTCATTTATTGTGGGTTTCACCCTGTCGTTAAGAAGATTAGGAGGCAGCCGTGTAGTATTTAAGAGAAAAAAAGGTAACCTACTGATTGTGCTTCTTGTTTCTCGAATACGTCCAAAAAAAAAATAAATTATTAGTGTGCTGCTTGTTTGGTATAAAAAGAAAATATTAATTCAGTGCTTGATTTTGGTTGGAATTCGGTGGGGTTTTGTCCTGCCCAGGGAAGAAGATTCAAAAACTATTTGTTTGCATCAGATTCTCTTAATTAGATTTATTTAAAAAAAGGAAAAAGGAATTAGAGGAGTAAAAGTTTAGTTTTTATTTGTGGTCATGAGAAGAAATAAGAAGCAGGCTGTTGATTGAGCTGCTTATTTGGTGAAGAAAAACAAAAATTGACTTCCTGTTTCTTTGGTATTGCCTCTGATTGTAGTTGCTACAAATTAGTGGTCTCAAACCGTGTGTTTATTTTTTTTTTATTATCAAGTGTATTTAGATCTATGTGTTAATGATACACTTTCATTTAATCTTACGGTTGTTAATTAACCTAATTAATCTTATGATTATTATCCTAAAACGGAACTATCCCCTAACGGGAATCTAGCCACCTCCATACACTAATGACATAGATAATTTAAATCTAATAATTTATCATTTGTACACACTTACTGAAAATTTCCTTGACATCATACACTAATGATTTTGTAATGGTTTTATTGCGTTAATGCATGCTGGCCCTTGTAATTTTTATTACCACCAACCGAACAACGTATATTTTTAGTACCATCAGTCGTATCACTAGCATCATATCTCTTGCAAGTGCCTCCTCACTCATATGATTCCAAGCAACCAAGAAGTAAGCAAGCCATCATTGATTTTCCAGGTCTGGAATCTTTTGTTTTCAACTTTGTAGTTGCCTACTTCAAATGGGTGATAGATTGATAGACTCTCAAACCTTGAGCTACCTAGTAACGTAATTTGACCTCCATTCTGTTATATTGAGTTTGATTGAAACAAAATTAGAGATTTGATGAAATGATTGTATGGAGAACTCAGGTTCTTCTGGTATTGAAGAAGAAGATGAAACCATTTTTGAGTAGGAGAAAGAGTTTAAGCGAGGGTAGTCTCTAACACCATGAAAAAGTTAGAAAATTCACTTGTTTTGTGTAATATTTTTCATTGTCTTTGGTGATTTCATCTATAATATGTACAAATAAGTCTAGTGGCAATATAATACAATTTATATTCAATTCAAAAGCTGACGATATCACCAGCATAAATATTAGGGTGAGTATGTCATTTATTACCAGCATGACTTTGTTATCTATGTGCAAATTACAGAGTAACTATATCATCAAAATAAAGACAAAGAAGAGGTGATGAGGAAATAAATAAATAAATAAGAATATGTGTTGGCGAATGAACATCAGCCAGCGAATTGTTGGATGCAGCCGCAAATGCGGACGAGAAGAGAGAGAAATGGATTAGGAATTTAGGATTAGAGAACAGAGGAATTTTTTAGATTTCAGAGAAAGGAATTTCAGTTTGACTTATAATTAAGGGCACTTTTGAAAGAATGCTAAGATATTGCTTTTGATTTGTGTTGGCAATATCGTTAGTCTCAGTAAAATACATTACAATGATCTCTTTATAAAGGAATTTCTTATTACTGTATTGTAATTTGAGTTTGCATAAGAATCTTCCAGCATTTCCTTCCTTTAAGAACTTGGATTTGAACCATAGTGATTAATATTATTAATGAGAGAATCATCTTGATTGATGCCACAGATGTAGAACTTCTTGACGCTATCTTAATATTGTTTTCTCTCATTAGCAAGAAATAAAATAAAAAGTTGATATAAATTAAATTTTTTTTAAAGGTAAAAGATGAATACTTATAGATGATATTAGATAGTTAGCGAGTAGCAAAGTTTCACCGACAAAGTATGAATCAGCGACAAAAGATATCCAAATCTGCATGATAGGTAGCTGTAGCTCCGTCGAATAATACATGGGAACCTTGCCCTGGAGGCCAAACAAAAATAAATATTTATTTATTTTTTGCGGGCAATGCTGATCTCTCCTTTACAACAACAAAGTCTCACAAACTTTGGAGTTTTGGAGTGAAAATTTGTCACAACCATTCTAATAAAGTCACAAAAACAAACTACGACACAATGAACATTTTCTCCTAAAGTCACGAGCACAAAACTACCAACAGATATTTTTGCTTTAACTATCACGGCAGTACAATAATTAGAGATTAAAATATTAATAACATCTACTTACTATCTTCTAGATCAAATTAGAAGGTACACACCAATAACAAAATAAAATACCTACAGAAATTAAGTGTAAAAAATGAAATACGTCCCGAAAATTAATACTCACACCCCCTTGCTTGCATACGACATTCCGGAGGTCGGAACGGCATCATCAACGACATGTATGTCCTCAAAGATAGGCTTCCACCCATCAGGTCCTACATAGTAAATGCTGCCGAAAGAACAACTTTCACGAGCTTGAGATGCCACACGGCAAATTGCCCTTTTAGTCCACCACGCAGCATTTCCAACGCCGGCATGTTCAAGTTCAGATCCAGCGTCACCAAAGCTGTATTTCATCATATTCATCCCATAAACAATTACCCGCACGTCGATACAATTCAGGAGTACCCTTTTCGCCCTCGACATTCCATCCCGCAACCAACCCTATTTCATTGTTGGCGGAATTTTTCGCCAAAGTTCTAGCCATAAGCTGTGCTGCATCGGCAACAGATATTCTTCTTTGCAATCTGATAACCTCCTTTTTTAGAGTTTCCAACAAACCATGGCAGAAATCAACAGTCTTTCCAGACATCGTGGCGATCATGTGAGAATTAAGGTCGATAACAGACGCGTTAAACGCTGAACCTGGCCGCGAATGATTAACGGCTACCATAATCTCTTCTCTGATTCCAAAGGTAAAAGCTAAAGTAGACATTCCCTTCTCAAAATTTGGCCGCGGTTCGATAGAATGAGTGTTTTCGTCCCCATGAAATTTCCTTGCCTGTTGAGGGTTCATGATTTTTCCTCCCTGATGGATGTGTTCGTAATAAGCCGGGTTACGACAGTATAGTGCCGGAACGACACCGGGTTCAGGCTGTTCAGAACCGTAAAGCTCGCCGTATTCGTCCACGCAGGGTACTGACCCGCTGTAATCTATGCCGGCGTTGGAAAAGCGTCCATCATTTTTTTTAGGAGGAGGAGCAGAAGGTAAGAAAAAGGCACGAGCTTCTTTGTCAGTGGAAAAACTCAGGCAGCGTTACACTTTTAACTGTGACTGAATCTGTTGCTCCTCCATCGCCTTATCAACTTTCAGCTCCGCTTTATCATTCTTCAACCGATTATTTTCATTGCACTCTTTATTCTCATTAACCTTCCGCTTTATATCAGCATCCTTTTTGATCACTATCTTTTCAACATGAAATGCTCTAATCCTCTTTGGTGTAGACCTAAAATGTTTGGCATAAGCCCGAGTGCAACGCCTTTTCCCTTGACCAGCTAATGGTTTCAGGATCCTCCGATCATCGGTCAACTCAAACTTCCATTCTACAGCAGCACCATAATCCAGCCAAGCAATGCATTTCTCCTCTTGATTCTCATCGGATTCAACATCAATACAAAGAGAATCGGTCCCAACTAAAGAATTTGTAGACTTGGCTCTATCGGCGTGATAAAAAGAATGTTGCATGGACTTACTTTTACGCCTCTTGTTGTTGGATCTTATGGAGCCTCTCTTGTCGTAAATTCATGCATGATTGGAGCATCCTTTGGCTTGTGAAGAAGCTACTGTTTGCTTAACTTGGTCGCCACCAAAATCGATATGTTGAACTTGGCTTTTATTACCACCAAACGCCCTTTCTAGGACACTCTCTATTTCTGGCAACTTGATCTTGCCCATATTAGCCCGTTCCTCCTCTTGTGTCTTCAAACAGTCTTGATCTATTTGCTTAAGAGAAACAGAATTGGCCAACGAATCAAGCTGCCGATCTTGATCGCTATCATTGCAAATCAATTCTGTAGATACTTGACAAGCCACCAATGATGTAGTCTGCTTTTATCTTGTTGACTAAACTGTGAAGGAACATAAGCTGATACGGCAGCTGCCCCATGCTGTAGACCATTGCAGATTAACCCCTTTAATATTTCATCAGCTGTCGGTGAAGTGTCTTTAGTCTCATAACTATCAAACATTATCAATTGGCCTTGTTCTTGGTGACTGAGATTTGAAAAATCTGAAGCTATATCGGCTATAAAACAAGACTGTCGAACATGGCTATCATCAGAAGACTCATTCTTTTGATCTTAAAACATGTTCCTTGAGCTACCTTCAATTGATGACAGCTTCATCTTACTCGTAATAGCAAAATCAACCCCGGCTAAATTTAAGCAACATTGTTTTTCATGCTCCAATGGTGAGGAACCCGAAATCTGATGGGAAGGGCCAGAATGTTGAGTGTGACCATGATCATTAAGACTTGTATCCACATCTTTCAAACCATCTTCAATTGATGATAGCTTCGTTTCACTTGTTTTAACTACATTGATCTTGAGTATCGTCGAACGACCTTGACCTTGAAAACCCATAATTCTGCAATCTGTAAAGCTGTTATCACCATGGTTTTGAGGTTCTGCATCATACCGGTCTCTACAATCAATTTCCTCATCTACCTCCTCACTGCTTATAGACTCTCTATATTTTCTTTGTAGATCAACACACTCTTGAAAACCATTAACATCTACGGAATCACTACATAAAGATTCAATTGCTATCTCCACCATTGGAACTTGGGACACGTGTTGCACCATACTATCAAATTTTCTCATACAAGCCTCCATGTCTTTATTCAAACCATCAAACATTCTTGCTATGTTCACCATGGATGTATGAAACTGACTTCGGTTATCATCAATCTCGGCCAACCTACTTACATAAACATGGATGATGGGTATCTCACAAGTTGGCCTCTATCACCTCTACAAACAATCACACAACCAAACTGAAAACTTGAATCAAAATGATATTGCCAAGTACCCATACCTTCTGAACTAAGTGTGTAAGGATTCATGGAACAAACCACTCCAAGTTGATGTGTATCATTGTAAACTGCTGATCGTCCGACGGTTCGCTCAAACTGCACGTCATAACTATCCAATAAGCAAGATTTATCATCAGCAACTTGCCCCCTGGGCATTAAAGAAATTTCTTGAGAATAGCAGCCATCTGAATTAGTCGGCCCTTTATAAGTCAGTAACAACATTCTGGATTGATGATCATGTTCATGAATTCTTTGGAACCCATCACCGTTCTGACCGACATCACAATAACTTGTAACAGCACAGATCTGTTTCTTCTCCACCTACCATTTGTCTTGAACATACTGCGCAACTGTGGAATCATCAGCCATGTGGATCTGTCTAGAATCTGCATATTGTTGGTGATACGAATGTAAATACTGAAACAACTGATCATGCGTTGAGATTGTCGGACTCCGATTCGGATCCAGCGGCAATCATGATTCTTCATTGATGGTATTATCACATAAATAAGAAAAAGTGATTCTTGCAACTGACCTTGTTCTGACTGAGACAAACTCTGAAAAGATCTACTTGGCACCAGTTGCTGATCAAACTCATTATTTCTCACCATTTTTCTTTGAAACTGCAACATATGCCCTTGGAACTCATCAAATGGAATTGTCTTCTGATCAACAACATCACCCGCTCATAGAACGCTGCTGACTATTGCTGAAACTGATGGGATTGTATCACTTGTCGCTGACCATGCTAATCTTGTTCTGATGATGACTACAACTCCTTAGCTTGTATTTTCTCCATTGGTAATTGGCTTTCTATTAACCCCGATATAAAGTGAACTTCCTGATCCAACGATGACTCTTGTAGTTGCTGTAATTTCTCTATCGGCACCGATAGCTTGTTTTGTGCCGTCAATAGTAAATTACAACCTTGGAGATTCAGCAAAGGCAACTCCACCAATTCTTGCAACTGTGTCGTTTCATGTTAAAGCTGTTGATCCATCAATCGTTCGATTGGTTGATAACATACTAAGGATGATTGGTTTCTCACTACCGATTATTGCACTTGCTGACATTGTAACGATGATTGCTGTAACTTTATCATTGATTGCTCAACTTGCCGAGACACTCTTGATGAAAATTGCAACTCTTCGAGTGATGCCCATAATTGCCGCATCCATTCAGATTCTACCAATGATAGTTGTTGAATTTGTTGGATTTGTGTCACCGATTGCTGCTCTTGTTGCGATTGTACCAATGGTTATTGGATCGATGCTACCGATGGACCTGCTTGCACTGGAGACGGCTGAATCTGTTGAAATCGCACCAATGGTTGATGAGCCTGCAAGAATGGCTGTAACGACATCTCATTCAACTGCGTTGCTATTTGATCGGTCGGTCGAGACTCCATTGATGATGACTGTGACTCCGTGGACTGTATCAATTGCTGAAGTTGTAACTACGTCTAAGATTGAACTGACTGTGAAATCTCATGAATCGATTGAGGCTGGATCTCTGCCGATGATTGATGCTGAGCTAATTTTAGAGACTGTGTTAGCTGTTGGGACTGTAATGGCCTAATTGATTGATCGACTGCTGGGGCTGTTTCAGTTGTGACCAAACTTGTCGGATAAGTCCAGATGGCAACTGAATATCCTGATACTCAATCACCAACGAATATGGCTGGTGGACATGTACCAATGTAGATGCTGTTTGCCAATGTTGTAGCTGCGTCTGTTGGATCTGCTCTATTATTGAATCATTATTCTGATGCTGAATCGGTTGTAAGTAAACCTGCTGGACTGGTGCCGATGATAGCCGAATCCGTGAAGACTCCATTGGCGACTGCTGGGACTGCGTCGATTGCAACTCTATAGATTGTGTCGTCCACTGGTCGGCTTGCTGAAACCTCCCTGGCTATTTTTGGGACTGCTATATATGCAACGGTGATAGCTGATTCTGCTATGACTGCAATTGCAGCTGTTGAAAGGTCATCGTCGGTTGCTGAAGCTGTTGCGACTCATGCTCAAAAGTTATAGATTGTTGTCGACCATCTTCAAATAGAACTTGTGCATGGCTCTGACCACTATCGAGCCAATCATAACAACCGTATTGATGCAGTTGATTGATAAAAATGGCTTGCCCCCCGAGACTTGAAGGCTCTTGCATTGTTGGGCTTTGATTTCGTTTATCGGTGCTGTCGGATTGCCGCTCTATGTCATATTGATCATCTGATTGGATAAAATGACATACAGCTCTGTAATTGGTTGCTTGGGAGTTGTAATCGGCATAAGCATTCAGAATCGGTGCATTAACTAGATTTGCATCTTTATGATGATTGACACTATTTTGGTACCAACTGTAACCATGGCACTCAATCTGCTGCTCTGATTGTTGATCGGTGACATACATAACCCTAGAGCAAGGTTGTGCCGATGCAAGCAGTTGGAAAATCTGCCCACCAATTGATGATGAGCTATATTGCATATGGGGTTGCTTGGATAGAGGTTGTTGAGATATTTTCCCACCAAGTGGTGATGAGCTATATTGGATGTTGGGGGATGTGTATATAAGGATTGAATTTTCAGGCGACTGACTGTATGAAGCAAGGGTGTAGATTGGACCTCCAGAAGTGTAAAAGACATAATTTTGGGTGTTTAGATACGTCATGAAAAGGAAAAAGGAAAAGACTCTGATGACAGACTTCCACGATTTACAAATCAAACTAAAGCTAGTCCCACTGGGCGTGGCAAATTATATTTGCGTGAAAATTGTGCACCCAAAACCGTGGGAAAAAAGGGAACAAGAATCACCCAAGACACAATTAAACCAGACGATTGTGGTTGAGTTCGAACCGGTCTTGGACCAAGATCGAAGACTTAGGGTTATTTGCTCTAGTTTGAGAAAAATAGGTAGAAACTAGAGAAAGTGGGAAAAAACCGAAGAGACGGTGTTTGACTCATAAAGTAGAAAATTCTAGCGGCGGCAAGTTATAGATGGTGCCGATGACACGCTATTACATCGAAAACAAAGGTATTAGCGCCGATTAGACCTTGTCGATGACACGCTATAACACAGAAGACAGAGACAGGATGGATGTGTAGAGGGTAGTCTGCTATACATAAGTGTTAGAACACCTATTACAGCATAACCGAATTCGTTGGAGTAGAAAACGGTGAACACCTACCTAATTCTATGTAGGAGAAAAAGGCAAACAACTCTATTGCTAAGATAGGGGCTAAGTAATCATGATAGAACGTGATGAACTACCATAGGGAAGGTAAAAACATGATAAACGGTAAAAGAAATAATAAAGAACAAGGAAAACCAGTTGTATGGTTGATCAGTAATGATTTTCTCTTCATGGCTGCCTCTATTTATAGTGCTTGGACGAAAACCCTTGCTGTCGTATGATTCCTTGGAGAAAAGGTAGCTTAACATGGTCAATTTCCTTGAAAATAGGTAATTATTCCCGCGGCAATCTCCCAATCGGTTGATGACTCTTCTCACAATCAGCTCTTAATTTAGTAATAGAATTCTTTCCCAAATATATCTCTTTAATTACTGAGAATTTTCCTTATTAAAAAGAGCAAGAAATAAGGAGGAATCTCCCTTAATTGCCAATTAATCACGCAGCCGATTTTGGAGCAATTCTATTCCCACTCGGCTTACACTTTCCTTTTCCAATTCTGAATCTGTTCACACTCAATCAGCCCATTTTGACCTCAAATGTATTTTGGTCCCTTTTGGGCTATTTTAGAGCCTTAAAACCTCAGCCATAATTACATAAATTCACCAAAACTATGAGCTATCACATCACCTATCGGCCCAAATATCCAAAAACTTGTCGAACACTTACTACTAGTTATCATTCCCATTAGTAATTTGAGTGTTGTTTTGTTGTCTTTCCAGTAATTTCTCTTTGTACATACATATTGATCCTCTCTTGATGTTGATTAAAGATTTGAGTGATGATCATTGAGCAATATATCATGAGCAGAATTGAAAAGGATGATTATGTATTAATTTATTCAATGAACCACTATGAAAAAACAATCATGTTGTAGCAATTGACCTCAAGTCAGCTACGACTATTAATCCAGGAGTGCTTGAAGCAAAACAATATTCAAGTTCTAAGAATTTTTTTTTAAAAAAAGTACTCATGCCCTAGTTTTAAACATTACTACTCGGTAGATTGTGCACTACCCGAGTTTCGCTGTTTGAATTTAGGTTTTGATCAGATGAATGGAGTTTACAAAGTGTTGCATCTGTATAAAGAAAAATTGTGTAGGGAATCTTACAAAGTAAAGTCTTCAATTCATACACTTAATGGGTCAGATTCAACGTATCTCAATCCACAGGCATGGATCAAACTCAATCTCAATTTGCATATTCGATTTGTGAAGGTCCTTTCCAGTGTGTCAATGGTACCATGTATTTGATTGTTTCAAGAATACCTACCACGTAGCATTTGAAGTTGGTAGCCAGATTCTCAGAATTCAAAAGTTCACTGAGCCTCTAAAAAATTATACCAAAATGGTTAATTTAGTAAGACTTTGATTGTTTTATTCTAAAGTTCGACATCGCCATGACAGCTTCCTGCCTCTTGAGAAAAAAGGGTCCATCATGATCCATGTGCTTCTAGTAAGACTTTGATTGCTGCAAATTCTTATCACGTGCATGGCGAAAAGATATGTAGTAAACATATTTCTGGTTGATAAGGGATTAATTCCTTTTGCTAACACTAGTTAAAGGGGTTGAATCGGCCTTTTGACATCAATTCAAAGACAAAGTGTTTCAAGTTGAAAACTAAATGCGAAATGAAAATGTTGTTTGGATGGTATTTTGAGCAAAAAGTTATTTGGATGCTGGTTTTGAAAAAAATATTTTGAACTACATTTTGAAAGTATCAAGTACGAGTCATCACTAAACAATTAAAAACTGTCAATTATAGTCACTGCAAAAAAAGAACTTTTCAAAAAACAATCACTCAACAACGGAATCCTGCCAAATTTGTCACTAAACTATTTGTAGTTCTAAAATGGTCATTACACTAACAAAAAGTGTTTCAAGTTGGAATTTAAAATGTAAATCAGAAAATTTTTTGGATGATGTTTTCTTTTCCATTGGGTTTTGTGTTTAAGAGGTAAAATGAGTTAAAATGTAACATGAGTGTTTGTCCAAACAAAGCCAAAATGTTACATATTTTGGCAAGTTTCACGCTGCAAAACTGTTCTTTTACTATAAAGGTCGCGTCGGCCACTCCTCATTTATAGAATGTGGGTTTGTAATCTAGCTTTTGGCTTCCCCACCATATATATCGAGAGAGAAAATGATTTGTCAAAAAGACCGATAAAATCATTGATTCATGTATTGTGATCCTCTCGCTTGTTGATTATAGAAATGAATTGTGATGATTGAGCAACGTTTTATTACATCTGGAAGTATTGTAAGAAGATGAGAACAGGCAATACCAATCGGTGTTATTCATTATATTTTCTGACGAAAGTGGCCTTTTCTATGTTTTAGAAATCATACAATGCATTGCCAGAAATCATACAGTTGGGATCAACCACAGAAGGATAAATCTGAAATTATCTTACATTCTAAAAATTCTAACGTGATCTCCTCCTCGTTTACGTCATCTGTAATTCGAGAGCAAATTAATTAGAGTAATGATATTGCCAGCCTATTAACCCTTTTCACCTGTTTTCTTCCCTTCGTCCCTGGATACATTGCAAACATCCTGCATACCACTCTGGGGGTTGAAGCCATAATCCCTAAACTCTAAACCTAAACCCTATTGGAGATCGACCAATGGGAAAACGGCGCAGGTGGTCGACCGACTTCGCAGGCATGCCAGATGACATAATCAATGAAGTACTGAAAAGTTCCGGTCAAGTCTCTATTTTGTTTCAAGTGCGTTTGTAAGCGATGGAACTACACAATTTCTGATCCTCAATTCATCCAAAAGCACATGATGAGTTCCATATCCCGGGTTGGAGGTAACTATTTAGTCAGTTTTTGGGTCTATAGAAATGAGTTTATGGTCACCTTTAATGATCACGGTGGAAGCTTTAGGAAGGTGCCTCCTCCAATACGCTTGGAAAAACACGTAAACGTCCATAGCCTCGAAATTTCTTCACCTGTGAATGGTTTGGTATGTTTATATTCTCGCGATGGTGGTAACAATGCGGTAATTTTAAACATCAGTACTCGGCAGATTATGCATCTTCCCGAGTTTGCCACTCCGTTTGGTGCTTTGCATTTGGGTTTTGATGAGATGAGTGGAGAATACAAAGTATTACATCTGTATAGCCACAACTTCATACTAAAATCCGCAATTTATACAATTAATGGGTCAGATTCGTCATGGAGAAATACGATGGATCCGCCTCAATCACCAAAATATTACTCTACTTCTTGCCTATGTGTTAATGGTAACATGTATCGGCTTTTCTTTGAGAGCCATGACACCACCTATCTCCATGCTTTTGAAGTTGGTAGAGAAGTTTTCCGAACTCTAAAGTTCATTGAACTTCTATCTTTTGGTCGAAGCATGAGGCTTGATGTAGGAGGCTGTATAGCTTGTATTCAAGGAGATTATCCAACTGAAATTTTCTTGCTAAAAGAATGCCTAGAAAATAATCAAGTCTTGGTCAAAGAGAAGATTTCTTTCCTACAAACGCCCGCTTTGAGATCCGCTTTGAGATTCTTCAGTGCTAGTAACTGGGGCATTTCACCTGCGGGGGGACATTTTATTGATGGATTATAGTAGTTCAAGAAAGTTCTATCCTGATTTACAGGAAAAGAGCATCAAGGAGAAAAGATACAATTGGCCCTATCCGAGGAAGGGTGCACAAGTTAAGTGTTTGAGTTGCTTTTTCTATGCAAAACATTACAACCATGTTGAAAATATGTATAGATTCAAGGATCAAGACGATGCTCAACATTCCCATGGCAACTTCCTGTCCATCTTGAGAAATGGTGATCACTCATAAATTATTTGCTTTTGGGGACGCTTAATTTATCGCTATTTTGTTAGGTTCTTATATAGTTACATGTAAGTGACTTCTATACATGTTAGATCGGGCTAGACTTCCATGAAGTACTCTATTTTTATGACACTTGAGTTTGTTGGTCAGGATCAATAATTATTTTTGTTTACATTAGTTACAGCTTTTGAATAACTGTTTTCTGCATTACACTTTTGTTAATGCATCATCAACTGCATTGCACTTATTGCTGTCTATCTCGTAGTTTCTCTCTCAAATAGTTAAATGTTGAGCCTGTCAGGAGGTTTATTTAAGATTTGGATCCTGACTCCTGATTATATATTTGGAAAAAGTAGAAGGAATGCATCGATCGGTTATTCGTTCTAAATTCAACCAGTTAATATGCATCCATCCATGGTGATCCTTTTCTGTAGATTTTTTTCTTTTTTTCTTTTCTTTGGTGCAAATGCTTGAATTTGAATATACTATGAAATCATTCTCCCTACATCTTAGAAATAATACGATTCACAAACGACGACTATTTTTTTAAGAGACAAGGTACAGTATAGTAGGAGCAACGGACTGGAGCTGGACACAATTGATAAGCGTTGGAATGGAGCGAAAATTTCGTCCTCCTTTCATCTATGGACATCTATAGCTTATTTCTATCCATTGAAGCTCCTGTAGCTTAGTGAAGGAATGATTGTAAAGTTTCTTGAGATCCCTTACCTCAATAAGAACAACCTTCACATAAAAAGTAATCCCAATTACTTTAAAATCAAACAAAAAAGGTTTCTTATTAGCTAGTATTTTAGTTATAAAACGAGGTTTTGTGGTAACCCATCCGTAGAATTTAAGTCACTACATTAATCATTCTTCATACGTTTATACAATGGAGCCTTCAGGTTCCGAAGCTGCTTCCCTCTCGCTAACTAAAAAAAATCAAATAATGAACTCTCTTTTGAGTTATTCAGTACTCAAACAGTACTCAAATGCTATTGATACCTTGGATCCGAATCCAACATTACAATTGTTTTTCTCAAATTCTTTATCAAATAGTAGTAGAGATCTTAATGAAACAGTACTATACCTTTAAAGTGATAATATAATAAATTCAGAAATGACAAAATTAAATTTGCGTCCTTATAAGATTGGTTTTGGTAGGATAGATATTGGCGTTGATCAGATGACAGGAATATATACGAAGCTTTATCTTGATCTTCCAGAGATAGACGACAGAAATTAGATTCAATTATATATCCACTTGAGGGGTCTGATTAATATGGCTATTTTCAGAAACCTTTCTTTTCTTTTCTTTTTTTTTAAATTTTTTTTTGCATTACGAGGTTCGATGATGAATTAGTAAGCTGGTAAATTTCAAGGAGCTAATTCTTAAAATTAATTACTCCCTCCATTTTGAAATATATGTCTTTTTAAGATTTGATGAATTTTTTTTTTTAAATATATGTCGTTTTCACAAATCGATGCATATTTGACCATTTTTTACCAATATTACCCTTGCATTGAAAATGAAACAGTATTTATAATGAATTTTCATTGGTTTATGATTGATTGTATAGACAATAAATAAGAGTATTTTTGTATTTTAACTACATTAATCAGTGTTTTCTTGATTTTGATAATTTCTCTAGAAAGACATATAAAAAAAATGGAGGGAGTATGATTTATGATTGACTCCTTGACATTTTAGCAAAACCTACCCGAGACGGTCAACAGAGATAGGGCTAGGCTTTCAGTATAAAAAGAAGCCGGAATGGGAAAAATCCTAGTGGGATCCACAATGAAGAAACGGCGCAAGAGGTCGTCGAAATCTACAGAAATCCCGCAAGATAGACTAGCCTTTGAAGTGCTGGCAAGGCTTTTGGTCAAGAATCTGCTTCTTTGTAGGTGCGTTTGCAAACTATGGAACTCCATCATTTCTGATTCCAAATTCATCGAAACTCACCAAAAACGATCCGAATCACGAGCCGGTGGGAATTATTTAGCCACTCTTTGGATGTCAAGAGGTGGAATTATTATTAATTTTAGGGATCATGAGAATAGAAGGCTGCGGCGTACGGTGCCGGCTCCAATATCATTCAAAGTTCCTCCCAAAGAATCATCAGCCATTCTGTCAATGGCTCTTCCTCTTCTCCAAGCTCCTGACCGGTGGATCTGGCATCATACGAAGAATGGCTGTCACTCTGTTCGTTCAGCATACTTTCAGCTTATGTACTCTCCCCTCTTCAATCATTGCTCTTCTGCGAACACCATTCTGCCGGTAGGTGTTCACGATCCTCTCTGGAAGAGATTATGGAGACTCAAACTACCAACAGAATCCTTTTATTTGCCTGGAGACTCTACAAAAACTCGCTCCCGACTCCAACAAATTTATCCTCAAGGCATTTAAATTTTGATCCTGTTTGCCCGTTCTGTCAACAGAATTCTCTTAACAGTTGTCATGTTTTCTTTGATTGTCCTTCTGCATCACAAGTGTTTAGGATCGCTGGCCTCCATCATCAAATCATGCAGCACCAGCGTTCAACCAGCGACTTATGGTCTAGAGCTATCATCTTGGACGATCAATTCAACATGACTTCTTTCTTCGTGGCTCTACTTTCTGGAATTTGGCAAGCCGTAACTCTCTACTGTTTGAACAAAAAACTACTTCCTCCTGGTCTGTAGTTCTTCAGGCTAGCAGAATTGTCCATGAATTCCAAACGCTTCACGTTGAATCAATGCTGAAAAATCCTGATATCCGATTGCAGCCACTCTTGCTCCCTCCGCCAACAGATGCAGTTAAGGTGTCTTTTGATGGTTCCATTTCTCGCTCAAACAACTGTTCAGGTGCTGGTGTTCTGATTCAGTCCCCAGATGGTAGCTTCATACATGGATTGGCGCGTCAATTCCCGGGCATATATGACTCAGACCTAGCAGAGGCGTTGGCTTTCAGAGAAGCTTTGCTACTATGTCGAAAATTAGGTCTTTCTGGTGTGTCCATTCAAGGTGACTCGTCCATGATTATCCTTGCAGCCATGAGGGAATTAGACAGCTCATCTCCTTGTTCTCCAGTAATGAAAGATGTGCTCTACATATGTAATGACCTTCCAGTTCGACATATTTCATGGATTCGTAGAGAGGACAATGTTATTGCTCACTCCTTTGCTAAATTTGCTAAAAAAGCTGCTGCATATTTCATGCAATCTTTAATGCAAGTTGTTCTTTCTTCAAAAATAATATGGTACTTGGAGATTATACAATTATTTCCTCCTAAAGCTTTCGGGTTGTTATAATCAATTAAGGCATCCAATTTCCTCTTTGTTAGTAGTATATATAGAGATTTATTAAAGGCCGCATCAATCAGCAAACAAAACCCTCTTATTCTGTGTTGTGATCGACGAAGAAGTTAAGGGCGCAAGATGTCGACGGAGTACCAAGTGGAAATCCCGCATGACATAATCACCGAAATTCTGTCAAGACTTCCGGCCAAGTCTCTACTCCAATTCAGGTGCGTTTGCAAACTATGGAACTCCATAATTTGCAATCCCCAATTCTCCAAAATCCACCATATGCATTCCCAATTCCAAGTTGGAAGCAACTATCTAGTCACTTTTTGGCAGCGCGGACGAGTTGTTGTCATTGATTTTCGTGATCATGATGACGGAAGGCGGGGAACCATGGTGGTGGTACCTCCAACAAAACTTAAAGTGAATGGCCATAGCACCGATTTTGAGATTTCTCATCCTCTAAACGGCTTAGTGTATTTATACACTGGGCCTGACTTTGGTGATCATCATGCATTAGTCTTAAACATTACTACCCGGCAGATTATGCGCCTGCCCAAGACTACAACCAATGTTGGTAAGTTAATATTCTGTTTTGATGATAAGACTGGAAAATACAAAGTGTTACGTCAGTATTGGGAAAATAGGATGCTAAAAGCTTCAACTTATACCCTTAATGGGCAAGATTCATCTTGGAGATTAACAATGGATCCTCCTCGCGCACTTTGCTGGGAATTCAATCTAAATGGTCCTTGCCCTTGTGTCAATGGAACCATGTATTGGCTTGTAGGCGGTTTCGAAGCCAACCTCGTCGCTTTTGATGTTGGTAGAGAAGACTTTGGAGTTCACTGAATGTTTAACCTACCGGACCAAGATGCTCAACGTTGGTGGCCGTTTGGCATGTATTCCGTGTTACGATGTTGCTCGCAGCGTTGAATGTGTGACTGAAATTTGGTTGCTAGAGGAATGCCGTGAAAAGAATCAAGTTTTGGTCAAAGAGAAGATATGTTTCCAAGAGATGCCGTTTGAGAAAATATCTGGTGGTAGGAACTGGGGGGTTTCTCCAATGGGGGAAGTGCTTTTGTTGGATTTTTTTGATTCCAGAAAGTTTTATTTCGATCTAAAGAAGAGGACAGCCAGAGTGGAGCGGTATCAGTGGTCTGATCCAAATCCCGCAGGTTGAGATACGCCGACGATGTGGTTATAAAACTTATAATCATGTCGAAAACTTGTATAGGTTTGAGGATCGGGATGATGTTCTTCAAGGTTGTGACAGTTTCTTATCCATTTTCCAGGAATAGGGCTTGTTCATGATCAACTTTTGGCGGGGTGTCAAGCTACACAAATAAAATAACCTACTTCAAACTACTGTAATATAGGGAAGTAAGGTCGTCTCCTCAGGGAACGATGGATTGTTTCCTATAAATTAATGCAAATGGAATTTTTGGATTGTTTTTCTAAATTACAAAAATAAAATTCAAATAACAAAAAGTAAATAAAAGAAAAGAAATCAAATTAACAAACTTCTGACTCAAGGGATGGATAACTCAATTATTTCATCAATCATGGGTTGCTAAACTATTCAAGCAATCTAAGCATTCAACCAAAGATGTATTAGGATAACCGTAATAAATCTAATAATTTCCTGAATTAACTAACCAAGCCTAGCACTCAATCAGTCCTTATCATAATCCGGCTGGGCACGATAACGTTCCATGCCAAATAATGATAGCATAAAAACCAAAGAAATATAGTTGAACCAAAATCTAAACAATTGAGATAGCTACAACTATTTAGACTTTGTCTCATTGATTCCACATTTAAACTAACATGCATATTCAATGTCTCACCAATACATATGCTATGTTTAATTGCTACTCAGTACTGCCGGTTCGTGTCTATTACGTAACATTCAACTGGCAGATAGCACTAGAAAGTAAATAACAAATCAAGTTGTCAATTCGAATGAAATCTACTTTCATAAATTAAGACAAGAATCAACAAATACTTAAATCATAGGCAAAAATAATAAATTAAGAACAAAACCTCATAATAAAATAACTGAATAAATCCCTTAAATCAGAAAAGAAAACTTAGCTACTCATAGTTGGAAGCATGATGGCTTGATTCTCCATGGAAAAACAAGAAAATTCGGTAAACGAAAAGATAGGAGGTGCTAGCCTATGGCTACACACGGCTGCCTCCAAAACATAACTCAAATTCTCTTTAGAATAGAAATTTAGGTCAGCCGCAGGAAAACAACAAAAGATGGACAAATTGCAGCTTTGGTCCCTCAACTTTGTAGCTTCTTCGTTTTTGCCTCAAAACTTCTTCACTTTTGCAAAAAGGTTCCTGGACGTCCAAATTAGCCCAAATCAGCTCCAATCTCTTAGTTCTAGCTCCTAACATGAAATAATAACAAAACTAATGAATTAAATCCATCCGAGTCCATAAATAAGTAAAATATCAACAATTAAAACACAATTTATGGACTCTATCAACTTTCCTTTCATTTTTTTTGGGGAGGAATAGTGCTTGTCTTTATACGTTGTTAGTCTTCCTGTACAAGTTAATACGCTCGATTTAAAGAGAAAGATATTTTGTGCTTTTATATATTTCGTTAATTAGTTTCTCAAAAACAAAATATAAATAAAAAGATTGTGTGCCATTTTTGTATGTGTGTCTTTTTGCTATCAAAAACTAAGGTGATCAATAAGTGATTTCAAGCTGGCAATTGGGCGGGTGGGTGGGTATTGGTCAGGTATTTAATGGGCGGGAGATTATTGAGTATGAATTGTTAATTACCCATTTATTTTACACACAGTTGAATATGGGTATGGATTGAGAAATGGGTAGCCCAGTACCCATTGAGATCCCATGAAGTACAATTATTGGAATTCCAATGGAATTTTTTCCATTTTCAATCTTATCTTTTTTAGTTCCACTATAAATGTTTTTTTCCCTTCTCTTTGTTACTCCAATGACTTCTATTTTAGAATAGAGAAAGTATCAGTTTTTTTCCCTTTCCGTTTGTCTTTTTAATTCATCTTCTTCTTTCTTTCTTTTCTTTTGATTAATTAGAATATTTTGACATATGTGACCAATTATTAATGACTAGATAAGTAGGGGAAAAAATTTTCACAAATCAGTTAATCATCTAAGGTTGAAATGTACAGATCACTTAATTTTCATATGATGAGATCAGAGTTGCATAATGGACTTCATAAAAACAGTTTAATTAATTCTGATAAAAGTTGATGCGATAGAATTAGTTTTTTTTTTTTTGGATATATTTTTGTTGATAGTCAATGGTTATTTACATAATGAATTGTTTTTTAATTTTTTTTGGTGTTTGCAATAGAATGATTCTATATATATAATTAAAATTAGAAAAAACGGCTCATCATAAATTATTTCCCAATAGATATTACTAATGAAAAAACTATATACTACTTAGTTATTTTCAAAATAGCATGTGAAACTCCCCAAATGTTTCTTAATTCCTGGTAAAAAAGAACCCCCAACCAACCAATCAAGGAGGATATTTCAAACAAGTATTCTTGAATTTAAGTAGAATTTTCTCATTATGGTGGCTCAATCTTGTTCCTATGGGTAAGGGTTAGGATTTGTTGGCAGAGGCACTTCTTAGCTACTACCATTTTAACGTAGTTTTCAAAGTATTAAATTAAGGTGTTTTTTTTCTTTTGGTAAATGGTAAACTTGTATTGCTCAACTTCACAAAAGAAACTATAGAAAGCTTTAAGTACAAGAAATCCTGCCTATACTATCTAAGTCTAGTCCAATTCTTTTTAAGTACTGAATTTCCATCTCCTTCATTTTCTTGTTTTTCAAACAATGCAAGAGCCTCCAAGTAATCTCCTGTTTTAGCCTACACCAACACATTTCTGATGATGATAATACATTCCTAAACCTCCTGCCATTCCTCTCTAACCATAGGTGATAGACAGTTGCATTCAAAACAGCATACATTATTCTCTTTTGCATCTCCTTATGTCTCCATATTTTCAAAATTCCCTTCACATTGAGATAGTCTATTGTAGCATTCAAGTGCAGCCATTCCTTCACCTTTTTCAGCATTGCCTGAGCAAACTCACACTTGAAAAATAAATGCTGGACTGTTTCTATCTCTTTTAAACATAAAATGCATACTTGATCATCAGGAAGGACTTTGATCTGCTTCAATCTATCTGAGGTGGCCAGTCTGTTCCTCTATGCTAACCAGCAGATGAAATTGTGTTTGGTAACTGAGTATACACTCTATACTATGCTTGCTGAATGATCTTTACTTCTTCCTCCTCTTAGCCAATCATATCCACTTCTGGCAGTATACCTTTTCCCTCCATTTCCTTGCCATATACCACTGATGATTCCTGGTTTAAGCTCTTCTTTAACTTTGATTAATTTTTTCTAGTGCCAGCTGCTATCTTTAGGTGCCAAACAGTCCCATACTTGTCTCCCTTTCAGGTAGTAAATTTGCATCCATTTAACCCATAAACTTTCCTTCATATTACTCAGATCCCATAGCTGCTTCCCTATTAGTGCTTTATTCCAAACACAAGGTTCCTTAATATTCAATCCACCTTCTGACTTCCTTCTACATAAATCCTGCCACGCCACCAATGATAATTTCTTCCCTGTTTCCTTGTTACCCCAGAGAAAGTTCCTACAGACTTTGGTAATGTCTTGGATCACACTCTGTGGTATTAAGAACACACTGGCCCAATAATAATTCAGATTCATTAGTACAGCATTAATCAGCAATGTTCTGCCAGCATAAGACAGGTGTTTAGAGGACCAGCACTTGATTCTGGCAGTCACTTTATTCACCATCTTTTGGCATTCATCCTTTTTCCAAGCTGTTGGTGTTATTGGCATCCCCAAATATTTCATTGGAAACTCTCCTCTATCAAAACCCACAACAGCTTGAATATCAGCTGCCATCTTAACTGACACTCCTGCCACATAAAGATTTGACTTGCTAATATTCACTCTCAGCCCTGTTGTTGCTTCAAATCTCATCAGTACAGCCTTCACTCTTGACACAGTAGCCATATCAGCACCACACAAAATGATCAAGTCATCAGCAAAACTAAGGGAGGTAATCTTCAATTTTTCACGGTATGGATGAAATTGAAATCCTTCCTTTTCTGCTTCCAACTTAAATAATCTGGTCAAATATTCCATTACCATCACAAATAAAAGAGGGGACATAGGATCACTTTGTCTAAGTCCTCTTTTCCCTTGAAAGAATCCAGTGCTGCTACCATTTATATTCAGTGAAAATGAAGCTGAGGTAATGCATTCCATAGTCCAACCAATAACCTTTGGAGGAAAGCCAAATTCATGTACTAACTCCTCTATAAACTCCCAATGGAAAGAGTCATAAGCCTTTCTCAGGTCTACTTTCAACAGACAACTGGGTTTAACATTCTTCCTATTGTACATTCTTACCAATTCCTGAATCAGCAATATGTTTTGCAGAATAGTTCTCCCCTTCACAAATGCTCCTTGATTAATATCAATTAATTCCACCAATATTGTACTCAGCCTTTGGCATATCAGCTTTGAAATGGACTTATACACTGTATTGCAACATGCAATAGGCCTGTATTCAGTTGCATCTCTAGGCACTGTTACTTTTGGGATTAGTGCCATCAGAGTGGCATTGAATTGCTTCAAAATTCTCCCAGTTCAGAAAAATTCCAACACTGCCTCACACACATCATCCTCTATTATCTTCCACAAGCTTCTATAAAAGCCACTATTATATCCATCAGGACCTGAACTTTTGTTAATGTCAATGCTGAACATTGCACTCTTCACATCTTCCTTGGTGAACTTATCAGTCATTCTGAGTTGCTGTGCTGTGGACAGTTCAGCTCCTGAACTAATAACTCCATTTTGGATAGTTGATCTGGATACTGTAGTGCCAAGAAGAGACTTGAAGTAATTCGGGGAAATGCTCTTCAACCTTTCCTTTATCATCTATAAGATTACCATTCTCATCAGTGAAAGATCTGATTTTATTCCTCCCAATCTTCTGTTTAAGGCTGG